TTCTTCAGGTGGAAACCCCGAGGCCCTCCCGCGAATCAGAAGAGCGGAATCATCCCTGATCCTGCATTGACCTTGAGCGAGGGGTCTTCTTTCTCATCAGAAATACCCGGAAATGTTCCAGGGCCCGGATGAGAAGAATATAACCGGCGGAATATAGAATATAATGTGGCGGATTCATTCGTTCCGTGATCCAACGCATCCCATGGATCAAGAGCTCGACTCCATCTGATCACAGCGACCGCGTCAGTGACGGATGGCTGAAAGGAATCGGAAGCGAGCCAGAAAGGAGACGCAGTAGACGGCATGGCGATTGCCGCGTCATTGTAGCTCTTCGGATCCGCTGTTGTCTGTGAGCTCACGTCGAGTTCCAGCGTGGACGGCTTATCTCTGCTGATGTCGACGACGGCCGTAATAAGAGTGTCTGAGCCTCACCGTCGATGATAACAACTGAAATAGAAGAGCTGAAACAGACGAAGTATGGCAACCGCATCGGAGAAGCAGCTGCGCATACCTCTGCTGCTCAGCGCCAGTGGAATAAACTGTGGAGCGTTCTCGTCGTCAGGAGCTGCTTATCATCCCCTGGCGAGAGGAAGCGAGCGCAGAATTCTGAGTCCGCAGCAAATCTCGGTGATAGACTCCTCATAAGTCATAACTCATAACCCATTAAACTTGCGCCCGGACCATGACATTTGCTCAACGGAGCCGGGAGACTCATCCAGATTTCGGGAGACGTCCGAAAAACGGAGAAACTTATGGAACGGAGAGTCGCTGTGCGCCTCAAACCGAAGCGAGTGTTCCTCTTTCATTCGATGTGCTCACGTCAATCGTTTTCTTGCTCATCTCGCACCAGTTTGGTTGATATGCAGTCCATTCCGCGAAGATCTCCACGGACTCATTGCTCGGGTATTCTCATTATCGGTAGGTCTTATCAACTCTCCAGTGATGCGTGATCGCCTCGCGCTTTCTCAAGGATCATAGCGGTCATCAACATGAGACAGTTACTAATTATCGGTATTGTAGAAGCGCGCGAATTATCTCGTAGAGCGAAGCGGTTTCCCCCGCGTGGTTGCTCTTGTGCGAGGTCTGGGGCGCGAAGGAGGTGTGGGCATTCGTCCGTAATTATGCCTCTCAAGCAACCCCCGTCGGTGCGCCTGCCGGCCGACTGCCTGTTTGACTGGCAGAGAGTCCGCGCAGCGTTTCGATATCGCCTCGGGTCTTCTCTGCTGCTGCTGCTGGAGGAGCAGTAGCTACCGATGCTGCCGCACTGGTGGGTAAAAGGAAGGCTGGCTGCCTGGCCAGCAGGAAAGAACCCCGCCAACGGAGAAACCAAAAAACGACAGCCGTGCCAATAATACATAAGCTGCTGCCAGCCGAGCCCGCGAGCGAGCGAACTACAGACATACGTTCCCCCGCCAGACTGCCTGCTGCAACTCAGCTGGCTCTTCTCAAAAATTCGGGAGAGGTGGAGCGACGGGTCCTGATCGGGGCGAATCTCCCGCGAGATTGGGACTGGCTCCGCAGACTTGGGCTCGGACGCCAAGCGGGGGAGTCATGGAAAGCGGACACACGGCCGCCATATTCCGGGAATTGCGAACTACCCTGGTAGGGGAGCAGAATTCAACCGGTCACTCTCACCGAAGTTCGACTGAGCATCTGAGTGTCTGTCTATAATGACACATTAGGTCTCTGGGACGAGAGCCGACCGAGCTCGAAAGGCCTCCCGAAGTGGGCGCCATCTACCAGTCATTTGAAGAAACCAATAGATGCGTTTTGCTCGCTCTGGACGCCTGACCCGAGAATTCGGTGGACGATATTATTTTCCGCTGAGAGGAAAGCAACGCTTCCTTCGGCTCCGAAATTCGATTCGAACAAACCCCTGGGAGCTTGAGCTCGACCGGGAGAAGGAGGGAACCGCTATTTCCAATCGATGTTTCCTTCCGATCCTGCATCATGTCAGGTGTGAGATTCACGCATATATCTTCCATAGATGTGCCTTTCGACAATTAGAGGCGATCAGAAGGTCCGCGTTTCCTGAAATGGTCAGTGAAAGGTACCTACATTTCTTCTGCGGGCATGAGTGAAGGGTCAATTTCATGGCGCATCCGCCGGCGATCACAGTGACGCCATCTAGCGGTCATCGGGAGAAGCGTGCGATACTTGGGACTCGAAACCTGGATATTACATTTATGCAGAACGGAGGAAACTCTGATCATCCTTCGACGTGAGAGTCCAGCACGTGATGATTCGCAGCACTCCTTGTGTCCGATTTCCTTGTCTCTCTTGCGTTGGATGGGTGATCATGACAATGGATTTACGGAGGCTCGAAGTCCCACACGGTCGACGATTCTAGACGGTAGATGTTTTTTTCGGCGACTTCCAGTTTCCCGGAGCATATGTAGGTCGCGTCCAGGTCTCGATGGCGATAGTAGGCTATTCATTCTGACTCCTTCTCTGGCCTTTCTTCTGACCTGCGGAGCTGTAGAGTTGAGCACCGTTGCTCTCGATGAGCCGTCACGGAGCCTACGAATTCCGTCCCGGAAGATGCACAATTGATGGATTCTACTCAACCAGACTGATATCTAGACCTTGGTTGAAGAGGCTGTCCCAGAAGCGATGTGAAGCGAAGCTTAGTGCAACCGGAGTGGAACAGGGGACGTGTGAATACTCTCCAGGAAGGGGGGGCATGTCATCTTACTGAGAGCCGGAAAAAATGAGAGGTCCCAAAGTGGTCTCGGATGTAGCGGTGAGAATGTGCGGTTGTCCGTGCATTACCACCTCGGGTGACGCGGGGGCTCTCTGCGCCAACGGACGTAGGCAAATGACATCGAGGCTCGAGACAGCTGATAGAAATTATCGGGGTCCAGCAAGAAGAGCGAGAAGAGGGAGCAAAGAAATATTGCTGAAGCCTCCGAACATGTCATTCGCGAGAATTCCGGATTCACCTGCTACGAGACACCTCCCCATGAGTTCTGCTGGGGTCCTCGGAGCAACCGCAGTCTACGGATCTGTCGATCGTGTCGGTGGCTGACCGCCATCTGCGACTTATGATGCTCCCTTGTCTACACGCTCGCCCGCCTTCTACCGAAAAAATTTCACGCAGGTAGTGTCATAACACTACCGTTATAGGACGTGAAACGCCTACACCAAAACGGTGAACAAAACCCAGCTCCTCAAATACGTGGATTTGTGAATGGTGTTCTTTTTCAAGTAGACATTGAAAGCATAATCATCATCCAAAGATCGAGGCGGACACTGAATCATCGTATCGACATCAACGGGAAATATCATCATTCGGAAAATAGGGCTCGAACCATATGCAGCTCCCTACTACGCATCGATGGATATACTAGACTAGGAATCCCGTGCGCGACGCACAATCAAGGAACATCTACCGCACAGCTGATCAGAAATCGCTCCATGAAAAACGATGTGCATATTGTGAGAATGCAATGTGGGAATAACTATTGTACTAATGAACAAGGAAGCGACCCAGAGAATCAATCGATACGCTTGAATAGCGCGCTTCGAGAGATGAACGGAGAGAGGAAGAACAGAGAAACTTGTAACGTCGGGCTCTCGCAGCTAGTTCTGTCCGAGACGCTCGTACTGCCGGTAAGGCATCGAGTGTGGAATAAAGGGACGGAAACTTCTTGTGGCCGACGTGTAATTGATCTGCGGCGTTCTTACAATATATGTACATATATGATCAGGTTGGATAACATACTATTTCCTTCTAAATAAAACGTTCTTCGGAATTAGAGAGCCTGATCCTCGAGTTGCGCAGGGGACCAAAGAAACTAGCTTTGGCTTGTAAGTCGAATCAGCTCCGAAATCCAATGTTCATAGGCTCTGGAGACATATTCATCAAGTAACCGCGGAGATTATCAGTATGATTGGAAATCGGGTCGTAAGGGCTCTTAACATTCTCAGATTCATTTCAAAGTCGAATAGAAGATTGTCCCGTAAATTGTCTGCCGATCAATACAATCCAACAAAAATTCTATTCACAATTAAATAAGTTCTAGCCTCTCAAAAGCGGCGTTAAATCGTTACATGAAGGACGAAGTACATCGAACGCGCCCCCGAGTCGAAATTAAAGACGTTTCACGTCAAAACAAGGAACTCTCGCTTGCTGGCGAAGGAGATAATCCGCACCCGGGTCCCTGTTCCCGACCTTTGCCCCACCTGCCCAGGACGAGGGAAGATTGAATTCATTTTGGTTCCAGTAGCTCGTGTATCTGAACTGTACCCGATATCCTGTTTCCTCATGGGCGATTTCAAATACTCGAATTCACTTCGTGTGTCCTCATTGTTGATTTTCGAGCATACCCTCCACGAATATAGTACAAGGTTGACGAGATCAGTCTTGGTAATGGGCTTGGCACGATCCTGACCTGGGAATTTCCAAGCAGTGTGTTCTTTCTTTTTTCATATCCTCTGGAAAAATCTTGTGCTGTTGGACAGAAGCGAAGATGAGACATGCAAACAGGGCAATGAATCGATATACTTGTTTCGACTCCAGGCCCAGCACCTAGTATCAGTGCGGAGGAGAATACCTAACCAATAACTAATAAATAACTCCCTAGAGCGGTGATCGATGGATACATTGGAGACGCCTTTCTCGTTCGGCGGCGCGGTGCTTCCCCGAGAAAGAGGAATTCACTCCATAGAACAATGTATTTGGTTCAGCGCGCGGTACTCTTCGTTTGGAGCTTCGTTGCCTGACAAGGGAACGTGGGACGATCTTCGTCCCCGACGTAGCCGGGTGAGCCCTATCGGGCTCGAACTCTCAGTAAAGATCATGAGCATCATCGTCTTCACTCTCCCGTCGACACACGTCCCCTCCGTAGAACTTTGGCCCGCTTCTTTTCGTAAGAATTCTCCCTTGAGTTTCATACGTACGTTTGTTCGCTATCTAAAGCGTAGTTGCAAATGTGAGGAAGTACGCCTTCCGAAGCTAAGGAGCTGAACTTCGGGTCTACTTGCAAGCGGTGAATCATATGTATCCGAGACACATAAGAGGTGAGTGGGGACCGCGCGCGCGCCTTTTGCAGCCGCCTTTTTGTCTGCAGCGCCGAGGAAGTGTGTTGTATAAATCTGGAGACAAGCTGTTTTGGCGCCAAGCACTTTTGTGACTTTTGCGATAGGACGCAATAAGTCTGATATCTCGGTACTTCTCCCGGATCTGTTTCTGCACTTGAGATCGCTCGAGAACCACACTCGCTCTATTAAGGTCGAAACCCGCAGGCATCCCATCTGCTCGGCGCGCGACCCTGATTCCCTGATCCGTCGTTCTGAGTGATTACCCGTGTTCCACGCAAGGAAGCCAAATGAAACAAGGTTCGGCGTTTTCCCTCATTCTCGACTGGCTTCATCATTGGTGGATGTTCTACTTCAAATCGAGCGATCTCCCAGAGTACGGGAGGGAAGATGGGCTGTCATGAATTGATGTGAAACATCAATCTGTGTCTGTGACAGCCCGGAGCGACCAAAATAGTGTCTCTTGAGAACCGGATCTCTGGCTTTCCAGGTCGACTTTCTTTCTCGATCAAGCGGAAGGATCGCGAAATCCAGCACGCCAAGCCTGAGAATGCCTTGGTGATTGAAGACAGCCCTGAGAAAGTAAATCCCGAAGTAAAGCCTCGAAATATAAAACTTGAGTTCGAAGATCCAACTTCGCCGCTTCCTTCGAGTGGGAGGTTATGAGAACTAACACGCCGGTGTTTTCCAGCCTCCCCCCAAGAAAATCTGCCGTACCAGTGTCGCCGAATCTGACGTCAGTGTCGCTGTCAAGCGCTGCTCAGACTCTGGAACGAACCCCACTCAGGGAAGGACTCAGGAGAATAATAACAACAGTAATGATGGCGACAAACATGTAAGTCCCGCATAAAAGTGCACGAACACAGGCCGATTGTCAGCGAATTGTATTCCCCAAGCCGAGCTACGAATCTGTATAGAAGTATCTGTATAGAGAATACGCATACGAATGTTCAGCCTCTCGATATCTCGAATATTCTTCCGAGTCCTCACTTGGGTTTCCCCGTATCGCTTGCGAGTCCATCTCACTGAGCTCTTCCATCCCAAAGGTTGAGGAAGCAGAAGCTTCGAATGGGAATGAAACTGAGGGGGGACCTGTCATATCCGACGCGAATTCTCAAGAGCCAGCCGATCCGACCGGGACCGTGGAATCGAGGCTTGAGGGCAACACCGAGAAGCAGGAGGAAAACGCCGATAATAATGAGAATGATGAGGACGACGTCGAAGTCATGGACGTTTCTCTCGCCGAGTCGTCCATCCTCGAATCTACAATCGAATCAGTCGCGGATGACAGTGAAAACAATGAAAAATCCGATCCAAACACGCCGACTGCTCCGAAACGGGTGAGTGATTCGATTGGAGGTCGTACGAAATACGCCCGGAATGATCTCGAACTCAAGTCGTTCGGATCCCGTAAATCATGTATATCCAATGCAATGGGTTCTCTCCTTTGCGACCAGGCTCGACTAAGCAAGACCGAGGCCGCATGGCAGCGCCTCAAGCAGCAGAAGGACAAGGAACTCAGACAGAAGGAGAAAGACGAGAGGCTCAAGTTGAGACAGGTAAGGCGATTTTGTGCTCGGATCACGCTCACACGATGCCGGAATCGGCTCTTCGATTCTCGAGAGGAAGTTCCCAAGCCCGCGTGAGCTGGACCATAATCGCAATCTTATCGCCGATCTCGGCGGGATCCGCTCATGGAAAATTCCGATTGCTGGGGCTCATTTACCGAAATGGTCTTTCCAGGAGGAGAGAGAGCGTCGTGAGCAGGAGAGGAAAGAGTTGAGGGATAAGAAGGAGAAAGAACGTCTGGAAAAGGAGAAGAAAAAAGAAGAGGAACGTCTGGAACGGGAAAGGAAGAAAGAGGAAGAGCGTCAAGCGAAAGAACGCGAGCGCATCGAGAGAGAGAAGAAAAAAGAAGAAGAACGTCAACTACGGGAGAAGGAGCGAATTGAGAAGGAAAAAGAAAAGGAAGAGAAGGAAAAACTCCGTCGGGAAAAAGAAGACGAGAAGCGTCGACGGGAAGAAGACAAAAAACGTGAACTAGAGGAAGAATCCGCCAAGAAAGAGAAGGCCAAACAAGCATTCAGGTCGTTTTTCGTGAAGAAAACTTGCGCACCGAACCCCGAAGATAAGGATTCCGTGGCTCCCAGAGAGGATGGCATGAAGGAGGACGAAGGCAGCCGCGGCGAAAGCGCGGGTCCGATCAAGTTCCGACCGTTCCAGTTGAAGAAAGATATGAAATTGGCTCCGATTGTTTCCGAGGATGCAAAGAACCGTTTCGTCAAAAGCGCGCTGGAGGCGAGGCTGAAGGAACAGAACGCGAGCGTCGCGAGCCTCTATATAAAACAGCTGAGCGGAGGTTACAAACCCTTGAAAAGCAGCAAAAGGAGCAAGACCGATAATCAGGAGCCCGAGGACCAAGACGTGATCGTTATCACGAGATCCAACCGGGATGTCGATGAGTCTTGCGGCGGTCGAATGAGAGCGAAACTTCTCCAGTTCGCAGAGAACTACCGACCGGCCTACTACGGTACGTGGCGGAAGAGGTGCCCTCAAATCAACGGGCGGAGACCGTTCAGCAAATATTGCGACTTCGATTACGCCGTCGACTCTGATGACGAATGGGAAGAGGGAGAGGGTGAGTCGTTAGCGGGAACGGATGATGAAAAGGAGGAAAAGGACGAGGTCGAGGAGGAATATGAGGAGGACGACTTCCTTGTACCACACGGTTACCTCAGCGAGAGCGAGGAGGACGAAGAAGATGATCAGGTACTTGAAACTGCGCTACTCGCTGGGAATCGATTCCTCAAACAGCTGTCTCATTGAAGACTATACGACCCCTTTCGTGGGGAAGTTCCGCGAGCTAATCTTCCTGAGTATTTCCAGCCCATGGATCCTGAGGCTCTGAAAGCCAGAATCGCTGCTCGACAAGAGGAGTTCAAGGCCGATCGAAAAGCAGGACTTCAAAAGAAGAAGATTGTGGCCGTCTGCTCGCTCGGACCTGACGGCGTCGCTCTGCAGGAAGAAATCAAAGTTCTCAGTCAGTTCAAGTGAGTGCAATTCCGATTCGCCGGAGGCAAGTTCATACCAGGACACCGCCGGGAATCTTTGTTCTGATTTCGTAAGGATGATCTCTAAAGAGCCTCATTTCCTCCAACAGGGCGGTGCTCATGGTCGCCAACGGTTTGGCCCCGAGCTGGGAACGAGAGAGTGAGGTAGTCATAAACAGCAAGGATGCGGAACCCGCGGTTCTGACCGGAAAAGGTATGATCAAAATCCGGGGAGTCGTATCGGATGAACGGTATCTTTCATCTTTTTTTTCTTACTCTTCTCCTGATGATGATGACGTACCCGCAGAAAACTAATAATAGGTACGCTCTCTTTCATTCCACAGCCCTCGAACTCTTCTGCAAGACGGCGCACGGATTCCAGGGCGGCGTTCGAGCCCTGTACGACACTTTCTTCCAGAAATGGAAGAGCGTCAGCGACGTGAGAGTCACCAGCAAAAGCTTGAAAATGACGTTGACCAACTGCTGCAAACGGTCGAAATCTCTAAATGCCATGGTGGTCAATCGACAACTACTCGAAAAGTTTGGTCTGGAACCTCTCGAGGAGGATACAGGAAACGATGCGACACCAACCTTATCGAAGTTCCTCCCGAACGATGTGATCCCTGAACTCATAAAAGTCACCCAGGGAAACTCCAAAACCTCACAGATCCTTGACGATTTCTTGACGTTGATGGCGCACAGAAAATTCGGAAAAGCTCAAGTCAAGCGCACGTTGACAACCATTGGTGAATACGATTCCGTCCAAAGGTGTTGGCTCGTCAAAGACGAGTGCCTCAAAGAACACGGTCTCGAGAACCTGAAAATCGAGAAGGCGACCAAGAAAGACGTCAAAGAAGAAAAATCAAATAAGGCGAAAGAAGGGAATAAATCAAAAGATGAGAGAAAATCCAAACAACCTGACGAAGATCAGAAGAATAGCAACAAAGAAAACGATGACTCGAAAGATTCCACGAAACTTCCGCCAGCAGACGCGCCGTGCAAAACAGAGGAGACCTCGAACCTCACCCCCGAGGCGACTACTCCCAGGCGCGTCTCGATCAAGAGTTTCTTCACCCCGAAATCCAAAATTTCAACGACGCCTACGTCTTCGAGAGGCCAGTCCTCGGCTACCCCGAAAATACTGACATCGACCAAGGATTCGTCTTCCAACAGAGACGAATCGAACGCTCCGACGCCGATGGCAGTCGGCGTATCGACAGCCGAAGTCCCGAAGGCCAAGAAACGAGTCCAGCTCACCACGCTGTCGAGAACGCCAACTCTGAAGGAGGAGAAAAAAACCCAAGCTGTTCTCGACAAGGATGAACTAATCCTCATCGAAGACAGCAATTGACGCAGGCTCGGGGAATGCGGTGCGGTTGACGACTCGACGTTGCCTCTCACTGCCGCCAGCTGACGTCATTTAGCGCATTCAGTTCGATTCTTATCATCGAGTCACGGACGACTCAGCTCTCCACCTCGGACGCGGACGGGGAAATTCTCTTTAGTTACAATATTTCTTCCGAATTATCAAGGATTCCGATCTCGATCTGTTAGGTGGAGTGTCAGCAGAATCGTCCCTAAGCAATTCTGCCAGACCGAGGCATCTCAGCTTGGGAGTCTGAATTCCGATAATTCGAGGCAACAAACATATTTGCGTCTATCTGTAGAGATGTCTTCCTTCCTGCATGAGAACTCAGTTGAACGGATCAATTTTTTACCGTCTTCCGAATGAATTCGGAATCGTTCACTAAATATTTAAGGAATAGAAATGCAGGAGATCCTCGGGATCCACGTGCCATGGTCTTAATTCCTGCCAATATTTTTCGATACTTTCTGGAGAGTTCATTGTACAGATTTGGGATAGAGTTGAATTTTCAATAAATAGAACGTCCACATAGTCGAGGGGCTCGCTCATAGCTTCGAGAACGAGAGATCCGTGTGGCGTCTGGCAAGGCGAGAAAGGAATGATCGTTCCGAGGGACGTTAGAAGCTCGTCGGCGTTTCCTTGGGGTCATCCCCTCCATTCGCGTGGGAACCTTATCGAGGTTTGCCTCGAATCATCGAAAATTGAATTCCCTGCAGCTGATGGGCCTTTCGCATTTCGATTGATTGCTTGATTCGGCCTCCAGCGGATAATTTTCCACTAGATACGCCATTTGAGACTGAACAAGACTCTGTTCCTCATCGATAACGATGAGCGGGCCGCCTGATGATTCGGGCCCCGTGGGAGCTAAATCGAGTCAAGAAATTATCGACGAACTTAACGCAACTTTAGACGCGGCACTTTCGAATCATGGGCGGATCAATTACGAGATTGCTCTTTCCGAGGCTGAGGAAAAATTCGTGCGGGAATTCGAGGCCGATACTTGTCATGAAGCGGTGCTAAGTGACTTTGAGTTTGGTGGGATACTGGGTCAGGGGTCCTTCGGAGCAGTTTATTTATCTCGGTTCAAAGATGGAACGATATTTGCGCTGAAGCAGCAAGGTTTTACGGAGAACGCTGTCAGTGAGAGAAAGTTTTCGTTCGCTCTGAACTCGCCCTTCATTGTCAAAGCGCTGTATGCCTTTCAGCACGAAAACTTGTATTACATTGCCTTCGAATGCGCGATGTGGTCGAGTCTGTACAAGCAGTGCGAAGTCATACGCGCGTCGAGGTCCGAAGAGCTTCTGAAGCTCATAGCCGCTCAAATAGTTTTAGCGCTGGAGTATCTGCACCACTGTCGCGTTGTACATTCGGATTTGAAGCGTAGCAATGTTGTGATCTTTGAGGATGGTTACATCAAGCTATGCGATTTCGGTTTAGCCAGGCGACAAGAAGTTGGAGAGGTGGCCTTCAGACTGATGGGGAAGCGGGGAATGCTCGCCCCGGAGATAAAGAAAGCTCTACTGACTTCGGCACTGTCCAAAGATTGGTGGGATCTAGGAACAATGATCAAGGACTTGTTGCCCAGAGACGATTCCGGTGTGCGGCAGGACTCAACCGCAGCTTCTTCTCAAGAGCAGCGTCCGAGAGTTGCAAGCGAGAGTCTGAGTGATCTTTTGAAAGGATTGCACAACTTGAACACTATCGGGAGGCTGGGCGCATTGAAAGGCGGCGCGAAGGACGTCAAGGATCATGCCTGGTTCAGCGACGTGGATTTCATCAAACTTTACTACAAAAAAATTCCGATGTTGGAAAAATTGCCGCCTGATCTCCATAGGATTGAGTGGGCACCGCCAGCGGCTCAAGCCCAGAACGTGCGCTGGTGAACATATCATCGGTTCGCTTGAACCAAAGGGTCTATCATCATCAAAACTCGGAGCCATACCCGAGCAAGGCTCTTGCGAAGGAGGAATAACTGAGCCGAAGAACGATTGGCGTGAAAGACAGAGCTTGATCAGCATAGATGATAGACGGGAAAAACAATAAAGATTTCGATCGAGAGAAGGATGGCAACGCTCAGACACGACTTGGGCGTCGCAGTCGCAGGTCTTAGGGCGTACCGTGAGATCAGAGGAATGCCCAGCCAGGAAGCAACAATAGAGCTCCGCAGGCTCTAGCCATTGCGGTGCCCGCTGAATGGCCCCGTTCCGGAAGAAAAGGTCAACCGTATTCGATTTAGAGAACCAGAGCAGAAGTCCGAGCTGGGAGAAGGAATAGCCGAGGCATACTCCCTATCTGCATCATGCCCCATTCCTGTCACTTCTGGATCGACGATTGCTCGTCCTTAAACTTAGAGGAGCCACCCGGGAAACTCGTGAACTCCGCCGCGCGTTACAAGCGGCGCATACGAAACTCTGCGTCTGGTCATGAGCTCTCCGGGAGCTATGGGCTCTGAAGAATAGAATTAGATACCTGAGCCCTCCCCGACCGGGCCCGAGTTTCATCTCAAGAGTGTCCAGCAGCGTAAGGGAGACCACAGTTTTTGAATTCTGGCGCTACGTCATCGGCGGGCTCCTCCCAAACTCCGCGAAATCTCTGCGGATCGCCTCCATCCTAAATTCAGACTCGAGCCGGGGAATGCAACTCAGTTGATGGAAATTTCGCAGCTTCCTCCAAGCCGCACTCTCAAACTCCAGAGTTGAGATCTCGATTCCATTCTGCCACCGTCTGCTCTCCCGCCAAACAGTACGTCAGCCGCCATGTCGAATCCTACCTTGTGGCCAACTGTCATTGGAATCGGGAGCACTCAACGCTCGCAGCAGCTGTTACAGGTTGTGAGGTGTTCGAAACCTCGAAAAAGCGTACAACTTTGCGAACTGACAGAATGACTTCGATTGCGGAGCTCGAAGCTCACGCCAAGATGCTGGAAGCAAGGCTGGCGAAGTATGAAGCATCAGGTCCCTCCCGCGAGAAGATCGTCCAGATGAGCTCTGAGGTAGTGGATTCGAATCCCTACAGGTGAGTGCCCCGTGAGTCAATGGCTTCGAGAGAAGTTCTGCAAAGGCCAAGCTTCGGATGGTGCAATATCGCAGATTTTCTGCATCGGGTCACCGGCCGCTTTTCGCGGTGCGGTGTCTTGAGGCGAGATCCCCGAGCCGGCGCATATGGTTAGAAACCTCAGATTGCTCTCCGCGAGCGTCGTGCCACAGCAAATGTGAGACATGAAATATCCTCGTGTAGTGAAAAGTTCCTGTGCGTCGACACGACGGTAGACGTTGTCGGGAATCAGAGGATCGCATGTTCGAGACCCGGAAGGAAACTCCCGTGAAATTCTTGGGGTATCCATCCTGAACACTCCTAAGGATGAAATACTTTCTCGTCGCAGTCGGTTGATGGCCCTGAAACGGATGGGGATCGTAGATGATTACGAAGCCATCCGCGGATACACCGTCGTCGTTGTTGGGGTGGGCGGTGTGGGGAGCGTCACCGCAGAAATGCTCACGAGGTGCGGCATAGGAAAAGTAAGACATTGAATACTTCCATTGGTATATACATATAATTGTCTTACTGAATCCGGGAAGAGCCAACTACTGAGTTCGATGCCCCCAAGAATATCCACTCATTTGTCAGGACTCGATTTCCAGCTGATCTTGTTCGACTACGACAAGGTCGAGATGGCCAACATGAACAGATTATTTTTCCAACCTCACCAGGCAGGAATGTCAAAGGTACGGGGTCTGCAGCACAAAGTTTGAATCGACTTCGGAGCGGAAGGCAACGCAAACTGAAAAAATATTCCATTGACAGGTTGAAGCTGCAGCGCGGACGCTCCAGTTTATCAATCCCGACGTCGAGTTTGAGACGTACAATTACAACATCACGACAGTCGAGAACTTCAATCATTTCATGGATATCTTGAGGACGAAGAGTTTGACTCAGGGACCCGTCGACCTCGTACTCAGCTGCGTCGACAATTTCGAGGCCAGAATGGCGATCAACACCGTAAGCAACTCTCGACAAAATCTGCCGGGGGATAGAAAATCCCGTAGAATTCAGCCCCGCGTGAGAAGTTCGAACAGATGAAAATCTCCGGGGGATTTGCGAACGGTCTCGGTTCGATGTCTGCATAAACTTACAGGCCTGCAATGAGCTCGGACAAGTATGGATGGAGTCCGGGGTTTCTGAGAACGCAGTTTCAGGTCACATTCAGTTGATTAGACCTGGAGAAACGGCCTGCTTCGGCTGCGCGCCTCCGCTTGTCGTTGCTGCTAACATCGATGAGAAAACTCTCAAAAGAGAGGGGGTCTGTGCTGCGAGTTTGCCGACGACCATGGGAATTGTCGCGGGACTGCTGGTGCAGAACACCCTAAAGTGAGTGCAAACATCCGCTCTCGGAGTTGAATATTCCATTCTCTCAGAATGAAAGACTGATCCTAAGGCTCCTCCCGCTAGATTCCTGCTCAAGTTCGGGGATGTGTCCCACTATCTCGGCTACAACGCTCTCCAAGATTTCTTTCCTACTATGGCCATGAAGCCCAACCCTCAATGTGACGATTCGTTTTGTCGGAAGCGGCAGGAAGAATTCCAGGAAGCTGAGAGCAGGAAACCTAAAGTCGAGGCGAGTGGAGTCTACTTCAGTTTTCGTTTATTTCGAGCACTAGAATGATTTCGGACTCCGGTAAATCGCGAATCCGATGGTCCTATGACGACTATGACTTCCGAGACATCGGGTAAATTTTCGACGGTGCGATTTGATCCCCAGGCCGTGGCCGTCGAAGAGAAAGCTGTGATTCACGAAGACAACGAATGGGGAATTTCACTCGTTGCCGAAGACCATCAAGATAAACAAGAAGATCAAAAATCCCCGGAACTAACTCAGGGAGTGAAGTTGGCCTACACTATTCCAAAACAGAGGGTGAGTAGCCGAGAATCGCAGGAAACATTTGAATGGGGAATTCATGAACTCACGCGGCAATTCAGTCGCGCAACACCATACGTACATGCAGGATATGAGCAGGACGAATGGAACGGATAGAATGGGAGAGTATATGGAGGAATATTGACCATTTTGTTTTCAGACTCCCAGCAGCGGGGAGGACGTGTCAGTATCCGATGAGATGAGTCTAGACGACCTCATGCAGCGGATGAAAGCCCTTTGATTACCCATTGTACAATCGTGAGAAAAATATGGAAATGTTAAAATAAATTCCCGTTCAGTCACCCTCTGACTGGAGGACTCATCCGCGCACCATGCTTCCATCAATTAATTTATAATACTATAAGATAATGATCACTCGATGCACGAGGCCTTCGGAATTCGAGGAGCTTATCGGGGACGAAAGCTCCTCGTATCCTCCCTCTTGAAGGTCAGCTAAGAGCTTGGAGTGCAGCCGTCGGGATGACCCTCATGAACGAATGTGGTTCGCCTCAGAATATTCGATCCTTGTTCGTGTAGTCCCACCAGCGAAACGTCCCTACAGGGCTTCCTTGCTTGCGTTTTCACCGGGAAGTATTGTCAGAAGCCTGGAGCATTTCTCCTCTCTTATCGCATTTCAGACGGAGAAGAATATCTAAAATCTAGATAAGTTCGGTGAGGAGCGGTGATGATAGCGAGCAGCCAGAAATATCCTCCTGCGAGTTTGCAGTCATTAAGCACGACGCCGATCGTATCAATCTCGCACTCATATGATCAAGATGCGCGACGTCGACAGTTGTTCGATTTTCCATGCTCGGGATCCAAATCTATAGAGCGTAAGGGAGGAAGGGATCAGGTTATCCTCGGACATGTTTTCACGTGGATGCATGAGAGATCGGAGGAAGCTCCTTGAGAACTCGTTCCCCGAACGAACTGAGTGTTATGGATATGATACATATACGTAGAAGTCAGTGTGCAAACTTGACATGGAAATTTATTGCTTGGACGGAATCGCCTTAGCGTACCTGATTATTTTAATGATATGTACAATCTGTAAAGTCCATGAATTGAAAGTTAGGAGATTTTGTGAGATGGAAGGAATGCGGAATGTTTCGGCTATCCCTATTCCGGGGGCATTTCTGAGCTAACGCCCTCGTAGCTGGGTCCTCTCATCAAAAATCACGTGATCGATTTGTTTTAAAAGCTGATTGATCCGTTGGAAACCATCGAGGCAGTGAGAGTCGCTTGCGCCTCTGCTCCCCGCTTGTTCCTCGAGTTAAAATCGATCTCAATTAGAAAAGGCGGATTCACAGGTCGATCCCGCTCCCGTACAACCAGAGAGCGAATGCTGAGGACATCAGTCATATTGTTTCGGACTGGCGGGAAAAATCTCAACAACTAAAGGGCGAAATTCAAAAGTGCTGTGCTCGACTCGCAGGTGCAGCTGCCGTCTCGATCTCGCAAAAATTGACTATAACCGGTGAAAAATTATTGCATTCTTTCTTTCAGCTCGCGTTTCTTTGACTGGACCTGCTTCAGGACGGCAGGAATAAGAGCCGCGACGGCGAGGAGACCCATTTGAAGAGCGACTTTCGGCGTTAAAATGTCAGATGTTGATCGGATCTCGCTTAGGAGAGCACCCGATTGTACGCTTATGAAATTGTATGGCATCAGACCTGGAAGGAGTTTCATATCGCTGTTAGCGATTGGCCACTGCCAGAGTCTCTCGAGCATGGCGCGAATGAACTCGCGGACGCCTCTCCAGAATCCAGAAATTCAGCCGTAGCACGCTGACGTTCAGCTCACCCACAAAAACCGAGAAGAAGAACAAATGGATCGGTATGCCCACTAAGGGCGAAGCCATGTTCAGGAACCAGTTGGGTGTGATCGGGAAAAGCCTCAGAAAGAGCAAGAAGTAGATGAGATCGTCTCTGTTGTCATCTACTTTCTTCTCCAGGATTGTGAGCTGCAATGAAAGAACGGATCGGAAGTGTCCTCTTTCGAGCGAGCGAGTCGAACTGGCAGCTCTGCCGGACCCCATGTCGAATGATCAACCTGAGTCTGTACCTTCGAGGCGAGAAACTTGATGTAGGTTCTGATGACATGTCGACCGCACATCCTCGATAGAAGGTAGCAGCACGTCGCGCCGCACGCGGTCAGGAAACATGCCAAGAGGAATCCAGGAAAAACTCCAAACAGAGCGCCAGCCAGCAGGTTCTGAAAGAGAATCTGGTCATCGATCGCGGTCATTCCCTACCCCCGAATGCGACTTGAGTTTTTCTTCACCCACGCTTGAAAAAAATGTCCTCGAGGGATGGATAAAAATGATCAATCGGAAGCATAATGGGGAGAATAATTTCCGTAACGTGGAATCCACCGGAGGAAAGAACCGACCGAGAGGCGCGCAGGTGCGGGAACAGCCAGCTAGACAAATACGCACAGGTGCCCCGTCGCTGAGGCTCGAGGCTCTTCAGGGAGTCATCTTTCGAAAACTTCTAAAGTTACCCGGTATTATTTTTTCCAGGTAGAATCAATCCGTAGTCTGCTTCCCTCTAATGAGCGAGGAATGAGGATGCTGAGCTCACCAGGAAGACTGATCCGGGAATGGCGAATGTTTGTTTGTAGAGGTAGGCGGAACAAAACAATAAGTAGACGTAATTTGCATTCGACGCATAGTAGTGCTGGAGCAACGCGGCGATTCCGTGGAGCTCCTCGAAGCTCGACGGAAACTTCAAGGATATTCTGGAAGGAGACTTCCTTTCGCTTAATCATACATCTGATGTTGCCGACTGGAGGACTCGATGCGATGGCCGTCTCTAGCACAGATAAACAACTCTCCCGAGTCGTTGCATATAACCAGAAGACTGAGCGCATGTACCCGAGAGTTTGCCCAAAAGCTTAAGCAAGCTCCACGGACGTTCCCGATACCGTCGGCAACCGGCAAAGAGAGCTCGTTCCCGCCACACCTGAGGTCGGGAGAAGAAGTCCCGAGCCGCCCGCTGCTGCAGACGCCGTCGAAACCCGGGCAGACGAACCATTCCATAAAAAAGCGATCTGTCAATAGAGGGCAGCAATATCTGATACTCACGTGCTATTCGCAGCACTGTCTCGAAGGTCGGGGGCATTTTTCGACAGGAAGTAGAGCCATGCGGTCGCAGCGCTGAGAAATATCGGTACACCGAGGAGTCGGAGGATCGGCGACATGCTTCCGAACTCCGAAGTTCCGGGAATCGGCGAAGCTTCAGAACGGAGATCCGAAACACCCGAAGCGCAGCCGAATCGAAAGGTATTCGTTTTTATCTTCCGTTCGGTGGCGAATCTTATTCAAGAGGGCCTAGCGATAAGAACTTGGCGGAGAAGAATACAAGAAAAGGTCTGAAGGTCCCAGATGCCAATCACGCAGATCCTCTCACTGACAGCTGAGGGAGCCGTGCACGCAGAAAATCACAGTCGTAGATTCGTCGCCCAGGTGTCTATTGGGACGAAGAGATCGTTTTCACACGTCGCCATTCCAAGCAGAGACAGATGTCGTCTCTCCGGAAATCCTCGAACGCCAGGAGCCGCGTTATTCTTGCGTTGGATGAGTGAGTGTCGTCGAAACTCCAAGCAGCGGCGCGGCGGGAATTTCGATTCGGTTATCGCGGATGATGACTAGCGGAGCTGAACGAGCGTGTACATCATTGCGTCGTCTAATCATGACAGGTCGGCTGCTGAAACTTGAGGTTCCTCGACTCTGCCACACGAAGGGAGGAGAAGGAATTCTGAAAGAAACTTCCCCTTCTCTACAGGCCGGCTCGCGTAGCGCTCCACGCGCTGTTCTCCTCGGCTGCTCAGCTGTTGCTGCAGAAACTCGATGATGATGATGGATAAAATGTTTGAGCAGACAACTTTCGAATGCTGAGCGCAGCAGGGACCGGCTTTCCCGCTCTCAAGTCTCAACCAGCGCGGTTGAAACAATCCGGGAAAGTCCAAGAGTGAAACTGGAGCTGAACCAAAATCCAAGTTTGTTTTGCGAGGAGGCTCGCAGAAGCACACACACTCACGGACGCGTTCCTCTGTTTGGGGGTTAGAATCCTCGGCCTTATGAGATCGGTGATCAGATGATCATCTTAAATCAGAATTCATCTGAGAGGAGCCTCGTCCGAAGGGAAGTCGAAATTAACTTCGCAGAAAAACTTTCTCGAAACTTTCCATGCTACTACGTCCGGAGTGATGATGAGGGTCAATATATGGATTTGGCAGAAGATTGCGTCCGGGGTAGACCTCATCATGATTCCTCCATTCACAAGTCGTTTTCAGAAATCGGGGAGGATTCTTCCAGATCCGAAGTCTGACATAAGCTCAGTCGATCCATAAAGAATGCCACAAAGAGCCACATGGAAACATTGATGAACCATTCTTCTGCCTATGTCAATTCCTCGATTGGCTCGGCTTATCTTCCACAGCACAGTTCGCGCACAGGGAAGATGCGAAGATTACCTAGATATAGAGAGATACGAGAATGCCTCCCGTTTGTGAGGGCGACGAACAGCAACATAAATGAGAGGCAATCGGAGGTTGCGAGGAAGCATCGAGTCATACCGAGGGCATTCATTTAGAACTATTATGCCTCTTTGCATGATGCGCAATATTGAAAGACGCTCTCTCTCACATCAGTAAGAGCAATCCTCGATAGCCACTGTCACGGGCCCTCCATGATGCTCCGGGATTCCGCCACGACAGCCCTTTGGAATCCTCCAGGAATTGCAGTACGAACAGGAAGAATGAATGGACTCCGCTTGTCGCAGCTCTCTATATTTAGGCGGCCCATCGATGGGACAGTCAAGCATCGACGGACGATTAAAGAGACCGATCATAAATCGCCGCTCTGAGCCAGCACGGCTTCGGGGAGAGCCTCTAGCTGAGATCCTGCTGCCAGGAAGACCGACTGAGCGAAATTCGGATATCTCGAGGATGTCAGCGCATGCTTGTCTCCAGACTCCCAGTAAAGATCATCGGCATCATTTCCTCCACATTTCGTCGTCGCATTGAACTCCCCCGAACGTTTCACTCCATGTTCCGTGATTCCAACTTTGCCAAGAGGGCCACCCGCCTCATGCCGCGCACAGTTTACTCCTGGACGAATAGTTATGTACAGTCCTCCAGCAGCGTGGCGGCAGCAGCGGCGCCTGCAGAAGAGTCTGATGTCAACAAATGATGGCGGTGTGCGCCGCTCGTCGTCGTCGCCGCCGCCGTGGCTGCGGCCGGTGCTTGCTGCTGCTACCCTTTCCGAAAGAGCGTTGAGTGGACCAGTATGTCTATCGTCATCTATCGAGACGGTCTCTGAGCTTGTACTAGAAACCGCTGCCATCCATAATCGGTGCCAGACCGTTCCCCAGAAGTGACACCGACGCTTGCGTTAAAGACAGAAGTTTCGTCGTCGCTATCGGTGAGTTGCTCATAGTTTCTGCCCTCTTATGAGTATTCGTTCTGCCCACGCTACAACATCATCAACACCGACATCCCGATCGAGCCAGACGACCGTAAACCAGCCAGCAAACATCAGGCTAGATATCGTTTCCGTTTATCCCGGAAGCCTCCGAGTTCCGAGCACGCGGACCTGTGCTTACTCAATGTCCTTTTCTATGTACTTTGAAAGGGAAGCATTCGCCTCACCGAAGTTCCATTTGACCACTTGTGGGCTAAGCGCAACGTAAACAGAGAAGTTTCTGGTTGTGGAGGGCTCATTCGTTGGGAGTGATTCATTCTTATCAGGAGGAGACTGATCTTGGATCTTCGTTGCTAACTCTCGAGTGGATTTGATGATTCAGTGGATTCACTGAATAGGTTCCTGACGGATCGGCCACACCACTATTAACTCTAGAGCTTCCCGCGGTGAATTCCTTTAACGATCGATGGCGCGGAATGAAAACAATCAGCGGCGGCTTAGTCTGGCACCTCGGAGTTGAAGCAGTTTGTGAGTCATGTCCGTGTAATTTCATAAACTGCATTGTACGGACAGGCCACCCCATTCTTGAGATAAGAAACATGGGATCGTCACGAATAGACGGAAGGCATTATGAGTCCGGAGATGAAGATCAAGTTCGGCGTTCCCCTCAGCAATCGATCCGGAGTTCCGGCTAAAGGAGTCGAGGCTGGTAGCTGAGGATCTGGAAGAGGCGTCGAAATCATTACCAGTCCTTGGAGAATCGATACGTGTTTCGTGATATGGATCGGTATCCTCGATTACCAGATCATTGCCACTCTGAACGGCTTCTCTGTCCTGGAGCATTGCTCTTTGTACTCAGTCAGTGTACGAAGAATCAATCTTCATGGAACGGATATCATAGAATCTAGGATCCGAGTATTCTTCAAACCATAGAATTCTCTATTATCAAGGAGCAGAACGAGCTTCGCATGTTCATGGACACCATTATGACGAACCTAAAGAAAGATCTATCTACGTGACAAAGGCAGAATGCAAGGCGCGCTGGCTTTGAGCTTTTCGGTGCATTGATAAATTACTAAGATCGATCGGTCCATAAACTTTTACAACTTGGGAGTTCGCCTATTCAACGATCGATTCTGGGAAACCAGTGATGGTTCTTCTCTGCTTTTCGGTGGTCCCCTCCCGGGAGGATAAGTATGTAACAGAAAGGACGAGCTGAGGCGAATCGACCAAACGGCGAAGCGTACTTCACTCGAGAATGGCGGCCGTGTCGTCATCGTTGTCGGCGACGTCTTGGTGGATATTTATTCGAAACATATTTCGTCCATTGCCCCGTTCGAGGAGAGATACTGACGTTCTCGAAGAGAAGAAAAACGTTTTTCTTTCCACCTTGCGCCGTCCGTCGGAAGCCCACCCTCTCACGACCAACCTCTGTGGACAATAAATAATCTTGAACTCTCATTCCTGATTGTTCGAGAGCTTCTTCGATTCGAGGACATGTTGAAGCATGATCGTGACCGATCAAGATTTGGATTTCCCTACTCGAATAGCGCGTCACAACGAACTTCCGATCCGACCGTCCAGGATCTCAGGCAAGAAAATCCATACTGGGATCAAGTGAATGGCGGAAACGGAATTCCACGGATTCCACGGAAGTGCGATGCCGAGGATTCTCGAGGAACTCTCTCCGGAGACGCGTGTTCAGCAGCTTAGTGTTGCATGATGCTTTTTCTTTCCCTGCTGCTGCAATGTCACGGAACGACAAGCTGAAGCGCTTTCTGAGTCTGAATCCGTCGCTATTTTGACCTACTTGCAATGGGCTAGTTCAGCGAACTCGTCGACCTTCACCGATCGCTGATATCCTCGATGGAGGGCCCTTACTACGGAAACGTGGTTGAGCCGAGTCTTCTTTGAGCTTCGTGATTTGTGGATGTGCAATTCACGATTCACGCGCTTGGCAACATTGGACATCGCGCGCCTAAGCTGTCATAATTATTGCTGTCATCTCGGCTCGACAATTTTTCTGACGAAGCGGTGAACGACCCTGGCTGTCGCGCGGAGCATTCACATGCCTAATGCCTATTGTCAGTGTCAGTGTGTCGCTTGCGAAGAGCGAAACGACGTCGCCGTCGTGGACTCCGAGCCGATGATACCGCCGAAGTGTCGATTTGATTTATCGTGAATGTTCAATCGCACGAATTCCCAGTGCAGTTTCCGAAATCGAATCTCTATCACACGGGACAGATATCCCTGATTCGGAATCGGAATAATATTCTCTACTCTCCCGACCCTCGGAGATCTCCTTCGATTTCGAATGTTTGAGTGATGATGCCTCAATGACTTCCACCGCTCATTTGACACCGAATGCACCTCCGTCCTACTCCGAAGGCCTGGTCAGGTGTTCGATCGGCCCTCCCGTAGCCCCCGAGCTCGATTTGATTTTTGCATTGTTGTGGGGACGCTGCGATTCTGACCGGCGGTCGAGAAAAAAGCTGCTCCGTGGGCTAGCGAATCGGACAACCACAACAAACAGGACCATGCGATCGTTGAGAAATATTCGCCGCTGCGGCTGCAATGGATACCGGCTGGCGACCATGATATGATTCGAACTCCGCGCTCTCCAAATGGGCGCGTCGCCCTGCGTTGAGGTCTCGCAACATTCGCCGAATCGAATCTGAGCGGTTGGAGGCGCTCTCAGCCGAAGATGGATCTGATATCCTTCCCTAATTCTCTCATCCTTCGACAATTGTGGCAACCTCATAGAAATACGCTCCGTGTGCGTCAAATCCCTCGGATCGGTGCGGGAAGGAGAGGAAAGGGGGCAGGTCCGAGAGTGACCGAGATGGATTCCTCTCCGGAACGATGTGAATTCTCGCTCTGAAAAGCCTGTCGTGAGAACAGGCGGACTTTCGAACTCACGGGTTCCATTTGACATCGGAGAACCGCTGTCTGTTCGAAACCTGATGCGAGCTACGATTTACCAACAAGATTGAAACCTCGATCCTGTGCTCTGTGCTTGTCGTCTCCGATCAGTCGCGGAACTGGCTGAGTTTCCAGAGATCCACAACGCACCACCAGTTTCGGATGTCAGTCCGCGTTCTCGATTTTCTCGGACTCGGAAGAGAGAGGGTCACTGAGTATTACTTTTCGGGGAACATTGAGCGACAGATTCGAACGACCGTTGACTTTGCATATTCGGCTAAATTCACAGTGAAAGCTCATTACAGCGAATCGCTTAAGAACCTAGAACTTCGCATGCTGTATTTGTACTCCGCGAGTCTATCAGCTCCGAAGACCGTGTCGGAGAGGTTGTCAGAAGGTGTATGTGAGACTGATTCGTTGCAAGGAGGTTTCACTGCACCTATTTGAGAATTCTGCTTCCTTCCCAAGAATTTCGTCGAATACCCGAGAATCGTCGTAGCGAAACCGACATTTCCCGGCACAGAGCTCGCTTGAAATAATCTATGATGATCGAATCCCCGATTGGGGATGCCGATTCCGATACTCGAGTCGTCGCCGAAGAGTTCGAAGTCCCCCCGCCGGCCGAAGATTGAGAAATCAAGCGACCAATGCCCTTTTTCTTTCCATGTTTAAGGCCTTCCGTTAACCTCTGCCACTGCTGCTGCTACCTCTGCCGCTGTTGCCGCTGCGATTTCTTCTGCTCCGTATACCGTGCCAATCACCCTCAGCCGGATGTTGCCTCGCTCCGACAGCAAGTTGCTGCGCTTAACCCGAGTCGAAAATGGAGGCGTCGGCCCGCTGTGAGATCGATCTCCTGGGCGAGCGGAGAATCGACACTCAGATCGACGAGAAGCTCATCGCCGAAGACCTCCTCAATCTCGCCTCATCCCACCTGAAGCTCCGCGAACGCGAGTATTTCGGTTTGTCTTGGGAAGATGAAGATGGTCACTTGCATTGGTTGCAGCCGGAAAAATTGGTTTTGGACCAAGTTACCGAGAACTGCATCCAGCAACAGGGCAACGGCGAGGCCAAAATCGTGCTGCACTTCATGGTCAAATACTATGTGCCGACCATCGCGTTGTTGAGCGATGCCAGCACGGTGGAGGCCTTCTTCATGCAGGCCAAACTCCTGATGAGCAAAGGCGTCCTCGAGCCGGACAGTCAGACCGAGTACCGACTGACGGCGTTGGCGTTGCAAGCGAATTTCGGCGATTGGACCCGCGACGAAGATGCCAAGCTGCGGCTCCGTCAGATGGGCTTTCCGAGCCCGTCTCTGACCAAGCACAAATCGGTCGATTATTGCGAACGGAAGATCCTCGAGGACTACAAGAGTTTCCTGGGCTTCACTCGAGGCAACGCCATCATCCAGTACATGAACACGGTCGAGGGTCTCGCGACCTACGGAATTCATTTCTACAAAGTTCAACAGAAAGACCGTAACGGCCCTGTACAATGGATCGGTTTGAGTCACCGGGGATTGAGCGAATACGACCTCAATAATCGCAAAGTTCCCAAGAAGTTCTACCAATGGAAATACATGGAGAACATCTATTACCGTGAAACGAAATTCTCTATCGAAATCAATAACCCCAAAAGCAGTTCGAGTACATTGTCGGGGAACGCCTCTGTGATCGTTTGGTTTGCGGCCAATGCGGCTCTCAACAAAACAATTTGGTCGATGGCCATCGCTCAGCACCAATTCCACATGGACCATCGACGGGCTCGGAAACAGACGCCGGAAGACTTTCTCAAACTGCAAAGAATCTCTCAGGAGCTCAACAACCAATCTCAAATGACGATACGAAGCTCGTTGTCGAGAATAGCCTTGGCATTCGAGGGAAAAGACGACGATAAGGCGTCGACAGAGGTGAAGCTCTCGCGGTTGTCGGTGAAGAAGTCGGCCCTCGTGGAGATCCTACGGAAAAAGCTCAAAGAACTCCAGGACATGTGTCGGAAGGAGTCCGAAATGACAGGGACCATCGATTTCGAAATGCCCACCGACAACGACATAGCGAACCCGACGCTGCGGAAGGCGAAACCCCTAGTCGACCGGAATGCCAACGAGATGGTCATGCCTCCAGCAGCGTCTCAGAAACAGCCACTCCCGATCAGTCGAAGAGTCCCGCCTCCACTGCCAACGTCGCACTCACTCGACCGTCTGAAAGCTCGTTCACCGGTCGTTGTCGACCAGAACGAAAACGTCGACTCGGTCGACGCCTACGAACGACCTCGCTCGAACACCCTCGGCAGGGATATCTCCAGGCATTCGAGCAACTCCAACCTCAAACCGTCCCCTCGGTCCTCGATAAGCTCCACGTCAACTTCCCCTGTACCTCCGGTCGCAGCGTATTCTGCTCCGTCCTCTCCCAAATGCTTGCACGGCGAAGTGAAACGCTACGTGCCGAGCATCGCTCAACAAAGCACTCACACCTCGTACCGACGAGCGCAGTATCCACCGGTCTACAGATCGTCTCGTGCGGACAGTGGAAAAGCGTCCGCCGCATCGGCCGGCACGGGCAAAATGCGAGCTCCGAGCCCGATGTTGGAAGCCCGCGCGAAATTCGAAGGTCCGATGGAGCGCGTGAACTTGTACAGCGTGAAAACGCAGAGGCTTTCGCAGGCGTTCTCGAGCCACGACAATATTCCCTCGTTGATGCAGCCGGAAATGTCCAGAATAAATATGCTGGGTCTGCCACCGGCCGAGCTCATGCCACCCCCGGCGCCCCCGCCGCTACCACGTCATATCTCAAACTCCAGTATTTCTAGTCTGGCGCCTCCCGTGCCCCCTCCGCAGCCCAAACCGAAAAAGGATTGGACAGAAACGAATCTCGACGATGCACCAAGAAGGAGTCCCGCACCGTCCCCCGTTCCCTCCCGGGACGATCTACCTCCGTTACGGGACCTTCCCCCCCGAAGGATACCCGAGCCGCCGCCCCCACCTGCGTTGCCTATCCGAGAGCCCCAGGCGCAGCCTAGCACCGTGGTGAGAACGTCTGCGGCTGCGACTGCGGTAGTCGTCGAGCAAGGCAAATTCAAACCGTACTACGAAGAAACGAAACCTTTTGAAATGTCTGACTTCTACAAGTACTCGCAACGGCATCGGAACACGTAAATAGCCCGATAAATCATTTTCAGTCACACCTCTGATCCAATGGCCTCAAGCCTGTTCCTCCTTCCGTCGCCGTCCCACCGTTAAATTCGTTAAAATTGAGAGAACGGACAGGAGACAGGCGGAGAGTTTGTGACCGCCATGATTGTTCTGAGGCGTATCCGAGTCACTCAGCGATGAATCGCGAGTATTTGTGAAGGACAGAAATAGGACAGAAAAGAATACTAACGATGAGCGTCCCAGGTACGGATGCGACCGAACAAAGTACATATAGACTGTGCCTTGAGTAGCGTAAAACTTGTAAATATCGTTCCTGAGCAGCTCTTGCTGATACGATTATGACTAATTGCGCTGATAATAAAAACGGTTAATATAAACGTGCCCTCGTATTTTCCCCATGGTATGGTCCGAAGGAAACAGCGATTCCAAGCCCTGCGCGGCTAGCTTCGACTCTCCGCAAGGATCGCATGCGACTCGGGATTTGATTGGATCGAATTCCCGCTGCAAACAAATCACTCAGGATGAGGGAAACTCCCATTGAGAACTTTCCGATGGCACTTCGAGTGAAGAGTGAGATAGACGACGGACGGTGATCGATATCTCACGCGTGCCGGAGGCAAGAGCGATTCGCCTCGACTCGCACCTGTTGAGCTTGAAGCCGAACGTGACCGTGATCCAGTTACGGCGTTCATTTCAGAAAAGCGTCGCGTCGCCGGGAAGACGGCGTCCCGCGTGTGGCTGCAGTTCTCCGCTCACTGATTTGTATTTTGGTTTCTCGATGAGACTGATTGGAATTCCCCTCTCTCTTTTTGTCGGTCAGAGGAGAGTTATTAAGCCGACGAGTCTCTCAACTTGACTGCAATATCGATACGACTGGCGTTCGACTACCATCCGACCTGTCGCTCTCCTAAGCCTCTGCTGCTTTATCACGGTAATCCGACGAAGGTAGGCGGCCCATCGCTGTCCGTTGTCGTCGAGCTCTCGGGGAAGGAGATTCTCGACCAGAAAACTCTCTTCCTCAGCCCGGAACGTCGGCGTCGTCCCCTCGAAAAGTGATTAGATATATAGTTGTGCTTGACTGGTGCTGTGTCGAGTCGATTAGACCGAGAGGAGTCGAATCGGATCCGGGTGACCAGGGCATAGAAGAAGACTTCGATCTCAAGTGACCTCGCCTCTTTTCAGTCGCCAAGATGGGAGAGTGGCTGAATCCTGACGTTGCCAAAATATGCGTGGCCGCGGGTCTTGCCGCCGGAACGATGCTCTTCGCGTCGATACCGGTGCTGCTTTCACAACGATCAGAGAACCAACACAGCGGCGTGCGACACGTGCTGTCAGGCCTTTCGTGCTTGGGCGGTGGAGTCTTCCTGGGGACATGTTTCCTACACTTGATACCGGAGGCGATAGAGAAGATGGAGCGAGCGCTCGCCTGCAGCAGCGACAAAACGAATGGATTCCCGGTGGCCTACGCGCTCGTCATTGCGGGATTATTGTTGGTCCTGATCAGCGAGCAAGTAAGAAACTCCGCAGCACTCACCTACGAATTAATTTTCTTCATCGACGCGAATTCCGCTTCGGTATTGGAGTATCACCCCATTTAGAACCGATTCCTCTCTTCCCCTCCGCAGGTCATCCAGAAATTCAACAAAGGCCAGATATCGTTGGGCCACTCGCATGGACGGCCGCGAAACAACGTGGGTGGAGTACCGGTCCCAAACTACGGGGCCATGCATAGGAGAACCTTGGAACACAGCTCGATTTCAGACGAGGTGTCAAATCTTGACTTTCGTGGAATCAAGTTTTTTTTTCTAGAGGAACCGCGCTCGCGGAGCCTCGCTGCGTCTTGATCCCTCGGTTTTTCAATGTTTTCCGAAGCTTCTGCCGGACCAGAAAAACGCATGCTAACGAAGTGCTCCCCGCTCTTCTATTTGAAGATCGACGCGGAACGCCCGATGGAGACGACGCTCGACGAGTCCGACGACGAGGATCGAATGACGACAGTTTCGATGCATGGTGACCCGGGTAGTCACAAACCTTTCCGGGCTTTCGTGTTGGTTTTCGCACTGTCCCTGCACAGTTTCTTCGAAGGGCTGGCTATAGGCCTGCAGCAAAACACTCAGGACGTCTTGAAGTTGTTAGGTGAGAACCGTCTCCAGGATCGCTGAACTGGAATAATCCTCGCCCCGCCGTATCGAATCTTCGGAATTCTCTGATCGAAAACGTCATTTCCCCGTTTGCAGGTGCTATCGTCGTACACAAGAGCGTGATCGCTCTGACATTGGGAACGAATTTGGTGTCGACGACTACTCTGAAGTCTTGTGGGCTTTTCTCTGCCATAGCAGTCTTCTCGGCCATGGCTCCTATCGGAATCCTGGCGACGCTCTTACTCAGCGAAGCCCCGCCGCTTGTGAGCGGCGTACTTCAGTGCATAGCGGCGGGTACATTCGTGTACATCACTTTCTTTGAAATACTGCCTCATGAGCTGAACTCGGAGAGTACCGGGGGCTCGAGGCTGTTCAAGACGATGATGTTACTGATCGGAATCGGTCTCATTGTGGCACTGATTATCGCTTTCCCCGAAGACCACCACGACGATGACCCGCACTGCCCTAACACGACGACGACCACGACGACGACGAGACCGGACGTGTTTTTCACCGCTCAGAGCTGAATAATCACAATATTCTCGGGGCTCTGAACCATTCCGTGATCGGGCGAAGGTGTCGTCTCGTCTGCCCGTTTGTTAATCCACCGCCAGACTCGTGTCAAGCATTAGGAAGAGGGGTCGCGATTTGGGCTTTAAGCTTCGTCGTAATGAGATCGAGATTTATTCTTTGTTAATCAAACAATGAGAGTGAAAAGTAAAACACATCTGTTGGTGCCGAAGGGTGTTTTTCGCTGATCTGGAATATCGATGGAGAATCGATTACTAGACTGTGTGTACTTGTGAGCCTGCACGTTTGTTCGTATGATTGCGGCATATCCCCCCACGGGACAATCACAACAATGTACCTGAGACTGTCTTGAGAAGATCAAAAGCAACCCGTGACTTGAGCGGGTGTGACGGCCGGAAGAATGTTCTGAATCGATCAATCGCAGCTAGGCGCATTCCCATCAATAGGCGTGATACTACGAAAGAGCGTCGCTGGTGGAATTCTGCGCTAATGATTTGAGAGTATGAACTTACTTGCTTGCTTGTATATAAGATGTGTATAATAAAGCTCTTTTATATTCTGATGACACGGAATGATATCATCGGTGATAAGCGTCGGAAGAATCCGTGACGCTTTGTCATGTGTATCTCGTCAGATACACGAGAATCCATCCTCTAGTCTAGTCAGCCCCAAGCCACTCATAAACCCAATTCTAAGCGTAATCCATCAGATTGTGAGCAGATAAGAAGTTTCATTTGCGATAGCGGTGCAATGCGTTTACGGTAGGGAGGAGAATCCCGGTGGAATGCATCATGGCCGGGACCCGTACCTTGGACGTCATCCTGGGAGACTGGGAATTACTGGGAAACTGACTGTAATCACCCTGCGGAGCTACATATCAACATACGAAGCAGAAACTCTGGCAATGCCAACGATTTCGAGCTTGACATTTTGGGGGAAACGACCTCCACTAGAGAGATCGGCAACGACAGCAGGAGACAGGAAAACTGAACCCTTCACGGTAACCAAGTCGAAGTAGAACCGTTTTGGTGCCTTTCTTCAACCATTTCTCTCCCAACGAGAAGGCTCCTTGGCGAGTAAAAACGAGGAGTCGCTCAATCGGCCGGCAAGCCCGCCTCCTCAGTCAGCGCTTGGAGGAGGCCGTATTCAACGATTCTATTCTTGAATCTGAGCTGCGGTTTCATGATCATTGCTTGTTATTTGATACCGATTAGGTGCGATCGAGATGAGGCTCCGGAACATTTTTGCGGAAGAAGACCGCTCCTAATATCGTGAGTTCAGCTAACCATGATCATCGATTCTTAGTCATTATCGGAACTCCTCCGTTACCGGATGCAATGGATGCCCTCTCCGATCAATTCAATGTCTTTTTCCTTCTTCCCTATCGAGTCCAGGTGTAAGAGCTAACTCTCGGAGGCTTCTGCAAGCGGCGGCCCATGGAGATTACCTCTCGTTTCCCCCGCGAGTATGGAGTTTAGCTTTGAGTAATGCCATAGGTCGGAACTAGGCATGCCCGACCGGAAGATCTCCGCCGCAGAATCGGACTCATTGCATGAGGTGGGAAGATTTTCAGAGCCTCTGATACGCTCCCGAGTGGTGCTCCGACCTCCGTTATCGCTTCATGGCTCCGCTAGAAATTTTATCCCATGACGGTTAGACGTCCAGCAGCAAACATCGACCATATTTCTTCCCTTACATCAGCGCTTTTTCGCACGAATCTGGCGCTGGTTTTTATTTTTATTTCTTATTTCTCATACATACTATAGCGAGCATCCTCTTATGTTTACCTGAATACATTTCGAGAAACTCGATTCCGAGCCGATCTGGGTTGTCCAATCTGCAGCGGGGGGAAACCGTGGAGTGCCTAATCGAGCGAAAAGAGCTCTCGCGGTCAGCGAGGAGGAGCTTAAACGATTCCGGGATCTCTTCAAAAATAACGGTGATTGGAACACTCGAACTACCTTTGGTCAATGATTCTCGATCCGTTGAGGATTTTTTAACACTGATAGCAGCCATTGTTAAGATAGAGTGCCGGACACGATACATGTGGACGTGGACCGCAATCGATAAAGAATCGATATCCTGAATCACATGTGCCTTTTTCTCGCGGAGCAGCGTCATTATCCGCGTCGACTCGAAGGGAAGCTTAAGCGCTTCCGCCGTCTTCTGCGAACTCTGGACTCATTTCGGTCACGGCACCGAAGGACGAGACCCATGTGATTAATCTTCTCCTCGTGGGCGTAGAGAGATTCACAAGCTTTAAGAAATCCGTGGTATGGCTTTCGCCCCGAATCAAGGCAGATAAATGATTAGTGTCATTTCAATCGTTCCGAACCATCTGATCAGGCTCTCCTCCCTGAGGACTTGGCTGCTCATTCAATAGTAGCGCAAATTGACCGAATCGACGATCACGAATATCGTGAGAATCATGGCCCGATTTTGGTGGAAACGCGTGGAACTCGTGTGCAGATGTCCTAAGACTCAGCACGGAGTGCTCCACGAAGGTGAAGTGTCATGGGAGAGTCATCGGGCTGAGGAGAGCTACGCGACGTCGTTGCGGCTATGCACGTTTGCTACAATCTGACCAGGAAAAAGGGAATCGGTACCCTCTGCTTATATCGAACGACTGTTTAATGTTCCGTGTGGCCGTAGCGGCGGAGACGAGCCGCCTCCAACGCCGAAAAGAGTCAACCCTTGCCACACCAGTTGTTCATCCAGCCCAGCGATCGCTCACGACGAAACGACAGACACTTCGTATGGCAAGATCCTTGGGATTCTTCTTCTCACTTCACTCTTCGAAGTATCAAAATCCGTTTCGGCGACAAAGATCGGTTCGGCTCCATTCGTCGGAGCTGATCCGCGCAGCGATTGACATTCCTGATTGTCTGGAGCAGTACCGAGAGATCACGTCGGAGCGAAGCGCGAGAATATTTCTGAGGGAGCTCATTCCCGAGAGTTTTCTTCTATCGAAAGCTCTACGAGATTCCCAGGAGTCTCTCTCAGGGTGCGCAGGACGCAATCGTATCCAGGCGCCACGCGGCGGCGCAGACTCTCTGTGGGCCTTGCCAACGCCACCCACCGCCGCCATCTTTGATCCGCTTCCCTGACAGTCAGGCACTAATAGCCTGGCTGTGCCCAACCATCAGCTACATGTTGGCCTGAGACACGGTTTCAATCTCCTTGAATGCTTCCATAGCGACCTCAAGATGGTGCGTCTCATGCACTACCTCTGCAAGAAGGCGAAAAACGAGGATAAGGTCGACAAGGACTTCGTTTTCGATTATACGTCTGCCTTCGACTTCAAGTCTGCCCATACGTTCAATAACGAGCGGCGGCACAAAACCGTCTTCAAGTATAATGATCAGGATTATGTCGTCGACATCTCTGGTGAGTATTTCGAGCGGGGGAGCTCCGCTCATGGATGATCCTGAGTCGGGAAAAAATCTTTCGGTGCAGAAGATTCGTCGACCAGAATCCGATGGAGTGCGCGTAACGCGGCGCGCACAGCGGCTGATTTTTCCTGGAGCTGTTCCGAATCGGCGCCCCTCCGATACTTTCTCCGGGACTTCGTAGATTCGCGAGTTGGTACCCGACGTCCCCTGTGCTCTCATTCCAAACTAGAAATGAGTTATTTTTTCAGAGTGCGAGCAAGAGCCTTGGCAGAGCGCTGTGCTTCGAGCCATAGTCACGGTCCTATGCTATGTTGTACTAGTAGTGACGTTCCCCATCTCCGGATGGGTCTGCGTTAAGGTGAGAACTGAAAAGAAGGAGAGCGTTGCGTTTCGATATAGATTCTGAGCCCTGCTCTCACTCAGCGTAAAGCGGCTGCTTAGTATTGAATTGACCGCTCCATTGAATTTCTACCCCGTTTCCAGAGAGTCACATCTCTGGAGCGCATGGCGATATTTCGTCTCGGAAAACTGATGCCGGTTCAAGGTCCCGGTGAGTTTCATTTCGACTCGAAAACTCCCTCGGTAGAATGTCGGCTTGCGGATCATCAACTCGGGAGTCTAACTTGCAGACACTGAAGTTATATTATAATTTTTGTTATTTTCGGACCACAGGCATTGTGATAGTCTTCCCCGGTGTGGATAACCATCGCAAAATCGACTTAAGGCCACAGACCATCGAGATCGAACCCCGACAGGTGAGAAATTTCGCTCAATTCATTCGATCATTTCCCAAAGCTATTTTCCGGATAGACCCCTCATTTTCGTTTTTCTTCTATCGGAAACGAAAAGCACCGCTCCCAGCCAGCTTGAGTCACGCTCTTGATATTACGGTTTGTCGATAGCAGTATCTCTATTGTTTTTCAGATCCTGCTGGGCGATGGAGCGGTCGTGGAGTTATCATGTTCGCTGGATTGTCAGGTGGTGAATTCGGTGCAGTACGTGACTCGAGTCAGAGAGGTGGATTCAACGGTGAAACTTTTGTGTCAGCATTGCCTCTCATCTGTGGTTGGGATGGCAGAGCAAGAGGACCTCGAGAGACGTAAAGAAAGCCTAGAATCATCACTACTGGTGAGATTCGGCGGAAGCATCGTATATTAAATCATTATGAACTCACGTGGAAACTTATTAGAGCTGAATGAGCGTCGGGTTCCTGATGCTGGTGATCTCCGTTGCAGACAAAACTCAACGACAGCATCGTTCCGTGGGGCCTTGAAGTCATCAAAGTGACCATGTGAGCAGAGCTTCAAGCAAAGGCGGATCCAAGAGAAATCTCTATGGAGACCTGACTGAGACAGAGAACCCTCTCTAATGTTTTATCTCCACCGACATTTTTCGTGGATCTGCCCCTGGTGCTGAGCCGTTCGGTGGAGTTGAAGTTAAGTTCCTCCCTCTCGATCTTTGTTCGGGATCGATTACTGGAGTATTTTCTCCTTGCAGCCAACTCGATCAAGTCGTACGCGAAGCGGAACCCATGAACGCGATCAGTCCCCTGGTGAAAGTCATCAAGAGTGCCCTGGGCTTAGGCGGAGACGATGAGGAAGACAAACCTCCGAAGCTCCTCGGTAAAATTGTGGACGGAAAACCTCCAAAAGGTACGTTTCCACCACCTGTCTGCTGAGGATCCCCGTCGTCGGATTTCATTTTGTGCAGAAAAGCAAGCGGCTCGAACATCGGAAGTAATGAATTCTACTTTCAGCGGGTGCTCTCCACATCGTACCCGCGGTCCCGAATGATGGTCAATTCACCCAACTGACGATGGTCCTTCAGCAACTGGCCATCCACTCATCCCGTCACGAGGCGATGAACAACATCACCGCGAATTACAAGTTCTTGCTCCATGGAGCCGGAGGGAACGTGAAGGAGGTGTACCCTGTCTGTCTCCTGTTCGATAAGGGTGAGGAAACGGATACGGTCGCCCTTATAATCGATTTCATTTCAATAGCTCCGGATCGGACTCGACCCTGAAGGCGCTAATTTCGTCTCTCGGTTCTCTAGGAAACGTCGACGTGAAATCCGGCACCGCCGAAGTGGCAGGTGTTAAGCCAGACGTCACCCTCGAAATGACATCGGACGATCTCACGCTGATCGTCCTCGGGAAGATGTCTCCGCTGAAAGGCTATATGGGCGGCAAAATCGGAGTCAAGGGGGACTGGACCTTGCTGAGGAAGTTTATGCAAGTAGTTCAAGGGCAATAGACTCTTATAGACTTCTAGCCTCGGAGTCCGCGATCTCAGCTAGGAATCGTCAGTTTCTATGAACGCTAGCTCATTCGAGGTGGGAATGGATGAGATTCTCCAGAATGAGCTCAGATATCGCAGTCATCTTACTACCTCATCTATCGTAGAACTTCAGCATCGTCTCTCATCGCTTCGGAGTGTGATGCTCCTTCACGCCATTCTTATACCGTGAATCGTAGTGGGATTCACCAGATATCGTCTTGGAACCACGTAGAGCTGAAATCTCCGGTCCCAACTCCTTCGATCAAGTTTTCATTCATGCATCAATCGAATCGATCATTTTCACTCATTGTCATGAGTATCTTCCCAAAAAAAACACAGAGGAGAAAGTTATGGAGCCTCGTTCTCGACCATAGATTCGTTGGAGCCGAGATCGCATTTCTAATCTAGAGCGCATTTTCGTGCGCTTTTGTGATAATATGACACGAAGAAATTCTAGTCAGTTGGATTCCGGCCGTGCGGAAATTCGGAAACGACGACGAGCAATTTTCGACTTCAGAAGCTCTTCGGCCAGACTAACTTCGGCTTGAACCTGTGATGCATTTGATATTTCGCCACTGTCTATTTATTACAGTAAAGTTCCCTGCTGATGAATAAAGTGGAAACGTACCGAGAAGTAATTAGAGAAGAAACTGCTCCCTAATTCGACTTCCGTAACAAAGAAAAAAATGCGCATCGATGATTTTGTCACGTTGCCACGCTCAAAGCGCCTTGGTGGAGATTGATTTTCGACGATCGGTCCGGGTTTTCGAGGAGCTACAATAGAATCAAATGAGGAGGATTTTTGTCGAGTTAATCTCTATCGACTCGCGTTTCCCCTGGGGCCTCCAGATTTACAGCTATGTCTACGCGGTGATGATGGCTGTCGCTCCACGCGACGCTCTCCCGAAATCCTAGATTGCTTACCATGACCGCTTGCAACTCTAGTAGACAGACGAGGGTGTGTGAAGCTTTCGTTGAGTTCAAATCTCGCGCTGCAGGGGAGACGGCATACGAATGGAGTGAGCCCGTCAAGTTGTTCTTCACTTACCCGTACAAGGTAATTAGCTACGAGAGGGTCTCCCCTGGTGCCCGGTTCGATTCAGCAAATTACCTCGATTCTCCCGGTGGGAATGGAATCTAAACTTCGAGTGTTTCTGCCCGATTGCGAACACATTCCGTTTTCAGCTCTTCATACCGCATCCGAGAGTGAGGAAAGGAGAACCTACTCGGTGGGTCTATCCTGTCGTTTTCGGGGGCGGCTTAGTTTCGGGCGATTCTTTGGAATTCAAAATCAAGTGCGGTACGGGATCGTCGATTTTATTGACGTCGCAAGCCTTCAACAAAGTGTACAAGTCGCTCAGGAGCGGCGTCTGCCGGCAAATCAACGATTTCACCGTGGAGAGGAACTCTTTGCTTTCCGTTCTGCCTGATTTGATGGTCTGTTTTGCCGAATCCAAGTACACGTGAGTGAGAGGAACTTCGCTGTGACATGAGCATCGGCCGACCTATTGACTTGATCTCGATTCCCCGACTCCGTCATTTGCTTTCACTGAATTTGGTCTTCTTTCCAGTCAAACCCAGAAAATTCGCCTCCGAGATCCGACTTCGAGCATCGTTTACCTCGACTGGTTCTCGTCGGGTCGGATTGCTTACCAAGAACGATGGCAATTCGCTTATTTGCACACCCTACTCGAAATTTACTTGGGCGAAGAGCTCGTCCTGCGTGAAAACCTCGTCCTTGAAAAGGTCGACGGTCTGAGCATATCGGATCGCATGAAAAACTTCGACGTTTTCGGTCTATTGATAATTTACGGTGGAACGACCCTCGTGAAAGAGCTCAAGACGAGTGTACTCACAGAGCTCTCCAAGCGCGAAGAGTACGGTGTAGCAGCTGAAAGTCAGAATGTGTTCTGCACTTCGTTGACGAAGCACGAAATCGGGGTCGTGAGATTCATATGTGCCGATTCAAGAGCGGCCTACAGTCGGATCGAGAAGCTATTGACTCCCATGTTCGAGACCTATGGCGGCAATCCTTTCTTCAATAAATACTAGTTTATTATTACAATTATTAGAACATATTTCGTGCGTCTCAACTAGAAGCGGAGTCTTGGAGGGGAGGCGATCGGGCAAGCAGCGCACTGACTCAGAAGTGCCCCGCCGAAAATACATCCATCGCCGCCCGTCCTCGCCCTTGGAAAAAATCTGGTCAGCCACCGGTCTGAAGTTTCGTCGGCATATGAGCTGCCCAGGTCTCGAAATCACGGGGCCCCTTCGACGGGATATCAGCCGCATCAGGAACCCATCCGTGGCATCCCTACCATCCGCTGTCAGTACCGATCCCCAGACGTGTTCGAACCTCAAGCCGTCGACTTCTTGCGGAATTCGGACTCGGCGAAGTCGTCTGTCTCCACCTTGACGAACAATTCTTTCTTCTCATCGGTAATGAGAACACCCAACCGAGTAATGATGATGTTTCTTATTTCTTATAATGAATCACGTAAATTGTTCAAATTGACTTCCCGATTGGGTAAAACACAGCCGACACCTCCGGACGGCCGATTGCGTCGCCAGACGAATTTCTCTCGCATCGATGTTTCGGATAACCTCGGTAAGTTTTGCCTTAAGATCGCCCAGTGTTTCGTAGGGGAGATGACTGACGTGGAAGACTTCGTCTTTCACCTTCCCCCAGATATAAAATCCAGTGGCGTCAAGTCAGGGCTCCTCGCCGGCCACTTTATGTCCCAATTCGTTGAGAGAAGCCTCCCAGGGAACATGTTTCTGAGGGTATTAACGCTACTTGCTGCGCTATGCGCTGGGGCTCCGTCCTGCATGAAGAACATCTCTCTGCGCAATTGGAGCGGCGAATTATTATCCAAGAAATCGATCAATTCATTCTGTAGGAATCTTTGGTCCTCAGCTCCGTTCAGAGTTCCGCTGTAAAAGTGTGGTCCGATTATACGGGACCCAAGGAGACCACACCAAACATTAAAACTGAATCGCACCTGGGCGTTCGTCACGGTGAAGCGCCCGTTTTTCGCCGTGGACCAATAGTGCGTGTTCTTTCGATTGAAGAAGCCACGGTTACTAAAGTTGAACTCGTCCGACCATAGGATTTTCGAGGTTAGGGTCGGATTTCGCTCGCACTGGTCGAGGAGCCACCTGCAGAAAGTCTCGCGGCGCCCTCTATCTTCAAGTCGCAAGTGTTGAACTTTGCAATGAAGGGTTTCAAATTATGCTTGTGAAACACAGTTAGTATTGTTGCATGATCCGTTGAGCACAGTTCAGCAACCTCACGTGATGAGGCTTCGGGTCTCACGGAGATGTAGGCCAGCACGGCTGTTTCCAATCCTTCGTTCGGATAGGATCTTGCCAAACGATCGAAGCGTCCTGTAGTCCTCAGGCTTACTTCGAGGCGTTGGAAGTAGGGCCTGCATGGCGCTCTCCTATCCGGGAAACACTCCGTGTAAGCTTGAACGGCCGCCGTCGCATTTCTTCCACATGTCACGTAGGCAGCGAACATGTCAGTTTTTCTCGACATTTGTGAAATCCATTTCCGGAGAATCGAGGTCTTCGCAAAGCTTCGCTTCCTGAATGAGACTTCCCAACGGAACCTAAGCTTATGATCTGTGCCATGCCTGTATCCCAATCCGTCTTGAACGGATTGGAACAACTAATCGGAATGAGCCGTTTGCGATTCAATTGATTCCCATGGTCCTGGCCATTCTCGGGCGGTATCTCGGATTGTATGAGTTTTGAAGAACCATAATCCGTGATTTTTTCATTCAGAATGTCGAGATGTCGAGATCGATCGATTCCGGTGTATTCGAACATGATTCCGAAAAGAAGAACGATGTTCGGTGTGCTATCCCGGAAACCATATCTCTCAGGAAACAAGCAAGGTCCTCAATTCAGAATCGAAATTTATTGAGAGCCACTCATGGGAATTTACCATCTAAACTCTTTCGTTGCTTACTTAGAAAAAGCTTCGAAAGTATTGTTGGGGGAATGATACAAGTAGGCCTGGCGCCTGGTGGACTGCGATCGGACACCTCCAACATACCTCGCAATGTGGCAAACTCGTCAACGGAGAATCGGTGTGTTTTCACGAATTGTTGATAACGGATCACACATCAGTACTCAACGTCTTCACCAAGCATCAGTTGAAACCGTTCAAAACATGCAAAGTACAGCACTCGCGACTTGGAGTTGAAGCGCACCGCGAGACTTTCCGCAGGGGGCTGATGGACCAGTGCGAGCGAACTCCGACCGGTCGGACGAGTTCAGCTTCAGTAACCATGGCTTCTTGCGCGATTAATCGTCCTTGAGAGCGTCTCACAGCTTGGCAGGGTCAATTTCGCAGCGTGTGACGACGTCTCGAAAGCAGCTTCGATCAACTGCAGAGCGGTCTCTTGGCATTCTACAGCTCTTCGCATCAGAGAAATTCTTCTCATGGCTAACTCTATCGCAGCGGGGTCCGCCTCGTCACTGTCCACGCCCAATACCCTGAGAACTTAGTCACTCGTTACCAGTGTGTGCAGTCTTGCCTTACACGCTGTCAGACCAACGAGACGTTGCCAGATGAAGAAGCCATTTTATTTTCCAGCGAAAAGTAGAGACTGAAAACAAAAGAGTATCAGGCACCGATCCTGAGCAAACGAAGTTTCGTTCGCGCGACATTCCTCCGCATGGGTGTCATATCATCTTTCTCTGGCCGCTCGCGCAGGCCCCAGATCCTCGATGTTGATTCCACGAAAGCGATATATGTGAAGGAAAACCCGATTCAGCATCGACTTCACCGGCCATGAGTTGTCGGCGATGAGTTGTCCGGCGATGAGTTGTCATGTACCGCGGAATGTGCGATGTTGGGCGTGGTTTCATTCCGAGAAGCTCCTCCACCTCCTTAGGAAGAGAGTGAAGGCATCTAGATTTCGAAAATGTTCGCGCGCGCGGAACTGCGTGATTCACGAGATCGCTGGCTATTATATTGCTTACCGACAATATTTTGACAGAAATGTGTTGCGATCATGGAGAAACTCAAGTTTCCAGCCGCTCACTGAAGTGTCCATGTTCCTGTGTGTTAGTATGTGCGATGATGGACGTAGTTTCATTCCGAGAAGCTCCTCCACCTCCTTCGGAAGACAGTGAAGGCATCTGAATTTCGAAAATGTTCGCTCGCGTGGAGCCGCGTGATTCACGAGATCGCTGTCTATTATATTGCTCACCGACAGATTCTCGATTGAAATGGGTTGCGATCATGGAGAAACTCCAGAATCCAGCCGCTCACTGAACTGTCCATGTTCCTGTCTGTTAGTATGTGCGATGATGGACGTAGTTTCATTCCGAGAAGCTCCTCCACCTCCTTCGGAAGAGAGTGAAGGCATCTAGATTTCGAAAATGTCCGCGCGCGTGGAACCGCGTGATTCACGGGATCGCTGGCTATTATGTTGCTTGAGCGAAATTGAACAAAGCTACAGCCTTAAGGTCGATTTGTGATAATTCTTTCGGCAATTACCATAACCGTCAATACGTTCTGGATGAAGTTCTGATAACCCTCGCCGTTCAGTGTTCCCTCGGAGATGCGAGGTCCTATGATTCGTAATCCGGAAGTTTGCCAGTTTCGTCTTGGACCAATAATGAGTATTTTTGCGTTTGAAGAATGCCCGACTGCTAAAATTGCATTCATCGCTCCACAATTTTTTTTCGCAGATGCGAGGATCTCTTTCATGTTGTCCTATGAACCATGTACAGAAATTCCTTCGTCTTTATAGATCATCGATGGTGGGTTTTTGCTATCTTGAAGGGCTTCGAATTATGCTTCCGCAAGATATCGAGCACCGTGGAATGATCCGTACCGCAAGTTGATGCCTTCTCCCTCGAAGATGCTTGGGAATGAAGTCCTACGAAAGCCATGACAGTCGTTTCAAGGTCCTCTGACGGGAATGATTTCGGCCGTAGAGTCTGCCGGAGTTTCGAAGGTTGTTTCGGTCTGGGAAACGGAGTCGATACGCCCCCGTGGCAAGTTCGGCGTTCCTTCGACAAGCAACGTGAACTTCGAACATATCGTTCTTTCATCAAATGAGTATTCCATGGCACTGTCCTGTCAACAGTTTTTACCCACGATCCTCGCCTCATCGACCAGATTAGAACTCTGTTGATCGCTCTCGGTCTGCGCTCTTCGCGAAAGACTCTGACGAGGTGGATTCGAGGTTTGGCATATCGCGTGACATTTGACTGCTATATCACATCGAATACGACATAGAGAATAGCCTTATCCTTGAAGGGCCGATATCTCAGAAACTATCGATTTTAGAGAAATGAGCCCCATCATTTTTCTTGCTCAAAATAACGAGATCTATCGATTCACCTCATTTTTTTCCCTAAACACCACCGTTTCCGAGAAAAAACGTAAAAAGAAATCTGGACCACTCTGTATGTGTGTACTGATTCTTAATGGCTTCTCCCTATCCCATATTGGACTTGAGAGACTTCCGGGAAGTCAGGGGAAAAGATGAGACGAAATGCCGTTCCTCGGAAATCTGTATAACGGGGAGCTCGATTCTCCTCTGGCGCATCGGCGACTCCATGCGAAAGCGTCGTGGTCAGAAAGGAACTCTCCGAGGCCTGTAGTAGATAATCCAGAAAAAGGTCTTCTCGAACCGCTACCCATCTTTGTCCCCCGGCGCCTGAAAAATCGACGGAGCGCCGGAACTGGCGGAATCGGGTAGAGTTGCTGCTCGATCGTTCATATCGATTCCCTGAGATATAGCTGACTCCTTCATCAGCCGCTCCCGGCACTCCCAAATTGATGAAGGTGAACGAGGTGTTACCTCACCATTTCTCAATCAAACCGAGATCATCCTGATCGACCCGGAGATTCCCTACGCTTTCGGAGCCTACAATACCTCCTGGCACAATCTTGCGGGATTTCTTAAATGCCTAGATATTACGCGCGCAATATATTAGTCCGAGTGTTTTGAGAATCTCATGCAATCCTTATAGAGAGAGGGAGGAGCATATTTCAAATGAGCTACAATGATCTCCGAATAGTAATCAAGGACTAGGTTTATTTCGTCTCTCCCTCCTGACAAAATCTCGATAATCTTCGGCATCCTGCATCGTCATTGGTAGCGGGGCGTTCAGTGTTTCCGGTAGAGCCAACATCAGAAACGAAGCGAGGATCGCCATGGTGCCGAAAATCCCGAATGTAACGTTCTTCCCATGAGTCGCGCCCTGTGATTAGGCCGAAAAAGATCTGTATAGTACGGTATTAGCTTGGATCCTTGGAGAGGATCCTTCTTCCCCTTGCGAGGTCAGATAATCTGATGGATAAAAGAGAAATGCTCACCAGACTCAGGATGTACGGTAACAACACCAACCCCAGCTGAGAGGCCGTTGTCGCCACGCCAATCGAGAAGCCACGAATCACTGTCGGGAAGAGCTCTCCCGCGAACATGTAAATAATTGTGATTGTCGAAGTGACGCAAACTTTCGCAAGAGACGGCATCAGAAAAGCTAGCCACGGCAAGCCTGCAAAGGATCGTATAGAAGATGAACCTCAGCTCTTCGACAGATCCCAAGTCTCTGATTTCCGCCAGGCTGCCATCCGAATTCCTGAACATCGTCGGGCTCACCTTCGGGGATAAATGCCGTGCTTAAACAGAAGACGCCATTCAGGAACAGGCTCCAAAGCATCGAGACTTTCCGGCCAAAGCGCTCCATGACGACCCATCCGAGGAGAGCACCCGGGACTTCAGCCAGACCGCTCACGAAGAAAGCGAGATGGGGCTCCGCCACCGAATCCGGCATAGCAAAACTAAGCCCGTTGTACACCTGTGAGGTTTTTCGAGGGTTTCCTTCAATATTCTTGTGCAAACCCAAGTGTTCATCGATCGGAAGCTTCAAAGAAAGTCACCATGTAGCCAACGGTCCACACGACGGAGATCAACAACAACCTCAGCGCGACCTTCGGGTATTTCACTATGCTGGAGAAATCAAATTGCGACGCACCCCCGTCCTCCGGAGCGCAAGATGTACAGTAGATCAGCTGGAAATCAATCAGAATAGAGATATTTTCCTCTTTCACTCACGCTTGCCTCCGGATGCATCGCTGTAGGTATATCCCTCAGCAACAGCTAAACTCGACGCGTTTCCATCCGGAAACCGAAACTCACCAACTTATCTTGCGGTGTTCCCGTGGACAGGGCGACTCCATTGACGCTGGCCATCTTCTCGAGCAGGGCTCCAGCTTCTACTATCCGTCCCTTCGACAATAGCCAGCGAGGGGACTCCGGCACGAACCTGGAATTTCGGGAAGGCGAATGGCACCGCGTGGGACGGAGATGGGACGTGAATGGGAAATGAATATGAGTTCGGCCTCGATGGGGTCCCCGAAAACGGAGGCCCAGATGAAGCGGAGTATGAGACGTGTATGACGTATCCGTATATCATGCCTTCAAAATCGAATAGAGGCAAACCAATAATACACGATGAGCAGAACCAGAGGGAAGGAAGTCACAGCTTGAAGAGTTTGCCAGTGTCTGATAACACTCGCAATCAACGCGTACGGCATCATCCCGAGCGGCACCATCATGGCACAGGCAAGAGCCGGCACAGTCCGCCTCGTTAAGCCAGTCATTTCGGCGGCTGAAATTATTGCAGTCCATGTACCTGAGATGGGATATCCCAAAAGCTAGGAAGCGTGGCGCTTTGACTCGGGCAATAAAATAGTCCGTGGAAACGATATGGATGAGGATTTGGAAGGCGGCGCAGCCCTTTCGACGCACTTTTCCAAGATCGTATTGCTCAGGATGCGCCATCGAGCAAAAAAAGTGAGGGCAGTGAAAAGACCACGTTCAAGAATCGGGGCTCCGGCTTCGGGTTTCTCGATTTCGATTGAGCTGATCCTAGGGACATTCTCATCCTCTTCCGGGATGCTCCCTCACGATTCTGAGCACCGCACTACGTGACGAGGATACTCGGGTGCCGTAGAATGAGCATCCCTTGATGCGCGATGGTCTCCCGTCCGCATTGAGCGCCGATATTCGAGCTGGTAGGTGTTTCGATGTGATTCATTGCTGCAAAGTTGGCGCAGAACTTACCGATCAAGAAAGACATGTTGAAGGCGCTGGGAAACGTAAGCCCGACGAAAAGCCTCACGACCGCGTAGCCGAAATAACTGGCCGGGAAGGTTTGCGCGATGTTCCCGGTAGCCATCACGGCCAGAACGAGGAGGAACGCCGGTCTCCGGCCCCACCTGTCAGAGATCCAACCGAAAACGAAACAACCTATCGTACCGCCTAGGAAGAAGACGCTCTGAGCCGTAGAACTCCACCAAGCCTGATCGCAGACGACATTAAACTGGAATGACAACAAGATCCCGCTCACTTGTCGACTCGGAAGCATTTCTATCGGATCCATTGGAACGAGGGCCCATTGTGGGGGGAATCAAATCTAGAGTGAGCCTACTGTGTGGATCATGGTGCATTTGTTGTAAGCGCGAGGTGATTCTTATGATTCCTTTTGCATGAGCGATGGAGAAGCATTTGCTCGTGTTACGATTGGGTTTCCTCAGCACAGCTGTTTGCGGTGTGAAAATTTACGAGTTCCCTGAGCTGCTACCGAAAGCCGGGTCCTCGAGAAGGAATTACCTGGATAACATAGAAGCGGTAGCAACCACTCGACGAAGTGAGGCAAGCCATCCCGCATATGGCCCAAGGTCGAGCTTAGATTTCTCACCTTTGTAGCGAGGGTTTCCCCATAATTTGACTGTTCGAAATCCCATCCATCCGAGCAAGGAATCACAGACCAGTGCTTCCTCGCGACGTAATCTTCGATTATTGAGGAGTTAAGAAATCCAGACTCCGAAATTAATTGGTCGATGACACCATTTACATCGACGTCGTACCGTCGGCACGACGAGAATCCACCACCGTTTTCGCGTGGGATGGATAGAGATTGCAGCGCTTCACGAGAACTCTGAGGAGTTGAAGAAGAGTTCTTAAGCATTGACAGCGGCGGCGCCAGAAAATTGGTTCATGGGGGTAGACTAGGAGGTGCGACGCTTGGGACGGTATTCCATCTAAGACCTGGTCCTACTCTTCCCGTAGGTCTATTCTCGAGTTCGCGAGATAGAAGATACGGTATCGGGTGCTCTAGCCATCGTAGGCCCGCGTCTACGGGATTACGCAGGTTTTCTGTCATGGGCCATGACTCATGACATATGCTGACGATTCGAAAGAGCTAGCAAGAGCGGCGGATCACATCATCCATGCCAATCTCCCGAGGGCCACTCAATTAAGAGAAGTCGCAGCACTCTGACCACCTGTCGGTGATGTCGTTTGTGTAGTCTTGTCGCTCCGTCAGTTGAATATAAACTTACTGAGCACTAAAAAATCGGCGGGATGGCTCCTGAGAGCGAAATTTCTCTAGCGTTTTCGTGTTTCCCGACTCCGAGCTCCCCTCGCTGCTCGAGCCGAGTGCCACGGACGCTAGGATCCGTTTAGATGCTGACCTCAGACGGAAGCTGACCATCGGTTCCATTCCGCAAGCTTCTCTCGTTTCTGACAGCCCTACTCGGGGGTCCTGTCCCGATTTCTGAGCGGTCAAAGTAACTCAATCTGCATAATCCCTGAACCGGGGGCATCCCTACTCGGGGAATTTCGACAGTTTTCCCCGAGGCACGTATCGTAACAGTTCAAGAAACAATTAGGGAGTAGACGCATTCCCGGGAAAAGAGCCCGGTTATGTTCTCCGACAGGGAGCGTTTTCCACGCTCGGGACTCATAACCCTCCATACCCATGCGGGAGATGATCATGCGATCGTTGTCCGAGTCCCTATCCCATATTGTGCTGCTAAGGGCTTGAGTTCGCAAAAGGCGGGGAAATCGGATGACACAAATACCCTGATACGATAAAGGTGCTGACAGAACTCATGGGACTATTTTACGACCTAGATATAATTCCGCAATTGTCAGTTCTATCCAAAGTATTCTAGAACCTTCACACCGATTGCCCCATCGTGTTTTACGGCCTGGCCGAAACCCGCAAAGAACTTCACTTCCATCTCCGATTGGATAGCGGATAGGCATTGGATTTACTTGACCTTGACAGGAGCATCGAAGCATTCGAAGTACGCAATATCATTCCTGCATCTCGCTCCTCCGATCGGAACTGTGGTGTACCTCTGATGCTGCCAGCCGTCTTCTGAGAAGCGTGCTCCTCTCTTCCGTGAGTGACGTGTGACAGTGATGCTCGGGAACCGCGGAAACGAAGATGTGACTGAAGACGGAGACGGCCAGAGGGAGACTCGAGGGGATACAGACAAGTAACAGTATCCATTTCTGATAACGCCCGAAATCCCCGACAAGAGACAAAACACCGTCGAAGTCCATGGTCTGCACTCGGCTCCCCAATCACTGGTATAAACTGTGAACTACTCTTCGTGCCCGATGCCAACTCCTCGAAGCTCTCCGGACCTTTGAATTCGAAGGTGGTTTACTTCGTCGATTGGTCCCTTGGGAGTAGTAAATCATAAATGTGACCGTCGTGACTCTGGAAAGAAGGCGAGCGCTCTTGGCAGGGCAAACTCATAAACGCAGGGAGTTCTCTACGATTCTTAGAGCTGCCTTCTGTTCCGAGAGCGGAAGCTGGATTGATCGGCCGCGCCTCCAGGCTAAATTCAAAAGCTGCGTAACCCCGACTCGAGAACGTCCGAACCGGACAGCGAGACGTCCCCAGGAGCCCCGTACCGAATTAGGATCAAGAGGTGTCGACTGACATCTCCGATAAGGGGTCAGCAATGCAAGACACTAGAGGGTCAGATTCGTCGTCGTCGTCGTAAGCATGTATGGCGGGACTGGTGCCTCCATGATTTCAGGGTCAGGCAATCATTTTTCCCGCAGGTGTCCCGCAACTGTTCTAAATTGAACCTTCAGGGAGCAACGTGAACCCGAAGTACTTATTTCAGGACAGGTACATCCTTGACGGAAGTCAGCCGGTTGCGAAACGACAGATTGCTTGGATTCAAAGTGTGCACTGTCTCAATCAGAAAGAGATTTACGGACTCCGGCGTAATCAGTTCTGCTTCGGCGTGGGGAAATCTGATGCATCGATTGCCTTGATTCGATTAGAGGGAGCCCTGCTCTTAACATCACCACCGCTCGCGTCTCGCATAAATCCGGTACGAGCATCAGTCCTCGTCAAGTGGAAGAGAAGATGATCCGAACACCAGGTGATTAATGGTCGACTTTGAAGGGTGGACGCTGAAGACTAGAATATCGGGAATCGAGCCTTGATATTGGAATTGGCGACTTCGGAGCGGAGCGTGATTAGCACGATGACCTCGAGACCATGTCACGAGAATGATCTCGGTGGAGACTGTGTGACGCTTCACTCTTGGGGTGTGGGTGGCTTCGCCTCCCATCTTTCCACTCTCTCGAAAATCCGCTTAGTACCGTCAATGACTCGCCTGCCCGACTCCTCATGTAACCCAAGCCGCTCTTGAATCTCTTCGTCACCACATGTCTTTTCATGGCATGCCAGCAGGACGTGCTCCAGAGTCTCCTCCTGACCACAGATCCTGCGACTCGGGTCAATCTCTTCGAGTCTTGACCTGAATTTTCTGGTTCTGAGGAAGCCGGCTCTCGCCTGTGCAAGCAATACACTTCCTCTGCTATTGTCGTATATGTTATCAACGGTACCGCGTCGTTGCTTGTGTTTTCGATACCTTGCGAGGCAGGGCTTTTCGCTCATGTCCTCCCTCCATTCTCGATGGACCAAATCTCGGATCTTCTCCTCCATATTCTTTCCGAATGTGTTCAGACAGGCTCCGCCTGCTTCCGACCGTTCGATCACTATCTTATCGCAGTCATATTTCAATGAAAGCGTTTTCATCCTCTCTACGGCTTTGACTCTGGCATTGTTGATGCTGATCATGGTCAGCATTCGTTTCGCCCATCTTTCATCGGGCATCTCTTTAATGCGTTTGAAGTATTTGATTTTGCTTTTAGCTTCCCCCTTTCCGAAAGTTGACCAGCCCGCAGAATCAGCGGGATTGAATATGAGGCCTCTTTCCTCACCGAAGGCAGATGTGATTTCTCCATGATAGACTGAATCTCCCGGCCCGCTTTGCACATGATTGCTGCAGCCATAATTCATCTCGACCTCTCGGCATTTAGAGTTGCTCATAAAATCGAATGCCGTCCTAATCTGTCTTGAGGCTCCCAGATATAAATTCCTCAAGATGAAAGGCGCCTCGAAGGAAATTCGCCAGTACAATGAGGATTTCTTGATTCTGGGGTTCATCCCCGCTGAACTAGATCGGTGTGCTCCTTTCTGCTTGATTTGCAACAGAACTTTCTCGAATGCGACCATGAAAAATCGGATCATATCCGAATATTTGACTTCGATGATCGAGGATTTCCGTTAGAGATTCAGTGACTTGCGGGTCCTGCTCATCCCTCCCTGGGTGAGTCTGCCCTACATGGTTTATTTGGCCGACGCACAGTGTGGCCAAACCCGATTTTAGGCGGCAGAAATTATTTCAGTGAGTTTTTCGGATTATTCTCGTAGTACGAACTCGTATCAGTCATCAGAGGAGATATCTGGCTCTTGGGCTGCTCACAAATAGTGAGCTCTCTATCTGCTGGCGACTGAGGGTAGAACATGGCTTCCATGCCTCGTGCTTGGGGAGCACGCCGTATCGCATCGATATGGGGGATTCTCCTCCAATCTCGGCCACACCTGTTCAATGGAGCTCGATTGAGCCTTCATTCATCGTTCTGCGTCGGAACGGGGCAGAGAAAAGGTGAAGAAAGAATTCTTAGCCGGCAATTTGGACGATACGATGTTTATTGATCATACAATATTGTATATGTACATAGTACCGCTCGCAATACC